GTAAGCTAGGGCCATAATGTAATGAATAGGTAAGTTAAGGCTACGTTGTAACACTAACTCATTTATAGATTTAGGGTTTAAGTTTTATATTATTATTGATAAGTTGGAGCCCAAGGCATTACGTAGGTGGTGGGGTGGGTGCCAATTGGCCAATGAATTGGGCTCTTGAGTTTTGTAATTTTAGGTAAGCTAGGGCTTAATTGTAATGAATAGGTAAGTTGAGGGTACGATAGCCGATTGACTCTTGAGTTCAAAGTCTCTTGTCAGAGGTAAGCCTTGGTGGCCAGTGGTGAACCGGCAATGGTTTACTATCCGGACGGCAATGGTTTACTATCTGCACGGTAATGATTTACTATGCGGCATGGCCATAGTCTACTACCCGCACGGTTTCCGGACGGCAAATGGTTTACTATCCGCACAGCAATAGTCTACTATCCGCACGGCAATGGTTTACTATCCGGTGCCCTGGCTGTCGGTGAACCTCTGTGCAAGGAGGGAGAATGAAGGGGGACTTTCGACTATCGTACCATTAACAATTTAATATAGATTAGTTAAGGTAATTAAATAGGTAGATAGGATTATTTTTATTATGCAATTTGAGATGCAAGCACTGCTAAGCTTTCTGATGAGAATTTTCTCAATCTTTCTCCATCCCACGGGCTGTGTTTCAACAACAATCTCGAAGAGGACTGGCACAATTTTGGAGGACAACGTAGGAACCGGAAGGCATTCAACATTCTGCCTTTGTAGATTGGACGACGGTAAGTTTTTTTTTACATTTTACTCTCTTTATTATTTTAAGATTATTTATTTGCCGTTATTTTCATTGTATGATTTTTGGGTTCTAAGATTCTAACATTCTAACATTCATTTACTACTACGTAAATAAAAAAATTTGTCTACAGAATGATGAGAGGTGGGCAGTGGTGGGAGTCAGCACGTTTCAGATGGTGGTCTCATGATGATTTACGTATGATGATGGTGGTGTAAGAAGAATCAGCGCGTTGGCTGTTCGACCGACACTCTGAAGTTCGAATGAAATCTTGTGTGCCGACCAGATGGTGGTGGTCGGTGCAATGAATTACTGTAACGACAATTTTTGAAGTAAGGTTAATTTCGTTTTTTTATTTTTCTCATTCATTTACACGTTCATTTTATCACTCAATCTTTCAAATAATTCTTCCATTAATTGACGTTAATTCATTCTATTCATTGATTCATTCTTTTAACTAATTATTTAATTATTCAGTTAATTAATTATTCCTTCGTTCCTTTGTTTCTTGATTTACTACTATGGTAATAAAAAAACTTTTTCTACAGAATGATGAGAGTGGGCGGTCAGCACGTTTCAGATGGTGGTCTCATGATGATCGTTCCGATGACAATTTGAAGAAAACAACGACGATTTTTGAAGTATGCTTTAGTTTCTTTTTTTTTATTTTTCTCATTTATTCATTCATTCATTTTATCACTATCTTTCAAATTATTTCTCCTTTAATTAATTTATTGATTCATTCTATTTATTCATTAAACCATTGATTGATTAATTAATTAGTTCATTCATTCATTCATTCAACCAATCATTCAATCATTCAGTTAATCATTTATTCGTTCGTTCCTTTGTTTCTTGATTTACTACTATGGTAAAAAAAAACTTGTCTACAGAATGATGAGAGGTGGGCTGTGGTGGGCGTCAGCACGTTTCAGATGGTGGTCTCATGATGATCGTTCCGATGACAATTTGAAGATAATATTAAAGGGAAATTTGTTTTTGTCCCATCGTACCATTGAAAGTACTCGAATTTGAACAAAGGATTGAGTGTCATCTCAATAAGATAAGTTGTCTATTTTTTTCTAATGGCTTGTTTTTTATTTAAAAAAATTTTTTTTCAATTTCGTGTTTTTCAGTATCCGGTCAAATTCATTCCATCGATGCGTGTCAGATGATGGTCGGTGCAATGGAGGTTCGTCCGTAGTTAGTGAAGAAGTTTCTGGAGAGTGCACGCCTGCACATTTACACACACACACATCAATACTACACACACATACACAACATCCATTCATTCGGTGTCGTTGTTGTTATGTTTCTCTTCAACTTTCTATTTTCTTTACCAGACTTAATTTAATTTGTAGGTAAGTTAGAGATTGAGATGAGTTGAACAATCGTAGGTAGGCTATGGCTTAAACATTAGTTAAAAAGATTCAAGTAAAATAAAAACGCTGAAATATGTAAAATAAAATACATAAAAGATGTAAAATTCCTAAAACGTAGAAATACATATTTGTAGGTAAGTGAGTTGAGTTAATGATTATAAGTAAGCTAGGGCCCTGAGAGTAATTTAATTGTAGGTAGGTGACTGACTACTATTCTTGCGACTTCTTACTAGTTTTGTGTGATGTGTTTGTTTGTTTTCGCTTCACAGCCCCACACCAACAAAACAAATAATTTACATTTTTATTCTCGTCGTCGCCTTAAATTTTACCTTTTCGAACAATTTTTTTAATAATGTCTGTTTATTTAGTTATTAAATATTGACTGGTTTATAGTTTTTTTTAATTTGGTTATATAATTTTTGGATATTTCTTGATTTACTTTGTATATATGCATGTATAAATAATTTCTGTTTGGTATGTTGATTTAGTCATTATGATATGCTGTGAACTGTTCTTACTAAATGTTCATGTTACGTGAATCATTCTCAGAGAACTTCTAAGGAGTGTGTATAATAATAATAATAATAATAATAATTATAATAATAATGGATAATAATTATTTTTGTATCGGTCGATATTTTGTCATATTTGTTTGTTTAAAATTTGTTTTTTTTTTAAATTGTCGTTTTTATAATTTTAATTAACCGTCAGTTTCCATTTTTGAATGAATTCAAATAAAAGTTACTACCTATTGTGTTTTTCTTTCTTTACTAAAATCTCAAAATTGTTTGTAGGTTTGTACGGTTAAGTGTTTGTTCGAGTTTAAACAAGCCTTGCAAATATTTATTTTTTATTTTTGTTTTCATCACAATTCGTTCGTTTATTTGGTTCATTCAATTTGGTTCATTGATTGGTCGATTGGTTGGTTGATTAGTTGATTGAATGAATGGTTGGTTGGATGGTTGACTGACTTACTGACTGACTGGCGGGCTGGCTGACTAAGTGACTGACTGGTTGATTAATTGATTGATCTCATAGTATTGTATATACCTATGAAAAAAAAATCCGATTAAGCCAACATGGCTTTACTAGGCCACTGTATTTCACCAGCAATATCTTTATTTATATTGACAAAATAATTGTGATATGAATATATTGATTTATTTAAAGCATTATATGTACAGAAAACCGCCATGACACAGTTGTATGAGACCCAGTAAGCCACCGCAGTGAGCCAACGTATGATTTCAGCAACCAATTTCTATGAGCACCAGCAGAATGTAAAATATTTATTGAATATAATGAAGATAGTTGTTCAAATAACAATTTTGATATATTTAAGCCGTTTATTTCATAAGCAAACAAATATTTTTAACATGATCGAATAGCGTAAAAAAAAGGTTGACTATAGTTCAATCCTACACAGCCAACCTTCGGCTTCAGTGAGCCACTGGATTTCACCGGACCAAAAGCAATTTTTGTATTCAAATTAACAAAAATAATTTAATAATACATAATTTTATTAAATAAAAATAAATAGAATTACTACAATGTTTCAAGTAAATATTTCATATGGCTTGCTCGTTAAAATCCATGCAATTTCGTAATCGAATTGATCGATTAGTCCAAGGGGAGGCCTATTTACTAATATATAACACTTTCTTATGGGTTGAAGAAGGGATATGCAAGAACCTCAATTTTTATAACTTTTAATTATTTTCGGTAATGTCGAATTTTTTTAAATTTATACCAAATAAAAATAATTAATTACCACATTGAATAACATTTTTAAAAAAATAAAATTTTAACATTTTAAATAAAAGCAATATTCCGAAATTAGTAAATATACGATCGTAACTTTTGACTCGAACGGTAAAAAATCACCCTCCAAATCTCCTCCGGAAGTAAGCTCCTTGTTCGACCGTTAAAAGTGAACGAAGGCCATTATATTTATTCTAGTTATGTGATACATAACTCGAGACGTCTCACCGGCTAAAATAAACAACCACAATAGCATATATTTATTCTTTTTTTCTCTCCTTCGCTCATCGTCTTTCTCTTCCTCTCTCTCTCTCTCTCTCTCTCTCTCTCTCTCTCTCTCTCTCTCTCTCTCTTTGTATTATATACATACATGCAAAATAGTAAAATGTTATAATTCTTCATCAAATAAGGTGATTTCCAAGCTGGTTAACTTTCATTGGCTTGAAATATTTGATCACTCAACATCAACCAATGATAAAATGGTACAAACATGTTATAAATGGTTTGATTGGTTGATTGATTTGAAAACTTTTTTAAAATTCCATGTTCGAGTGAACCCATGTAATTTGTTTATTTGAGCTAATGTTTTTTAGTGTATCTACATGAAATAATTTGAAACTTTTTATCATTATGAAAATATGGCGTTTTATTAGCATACTCATCAGTGTTTTCTTCTTATTATCACCTTCTTTACTACATCTACAATAAACAAATAAAAGAATCAGCATTTCTTGTGATAATTTGTTGCGAGTTTATTTTAAAAAGTTTGAGTTGTAACTTTTTCAAAATAATCGTTATTATAGAGCTTTGAGCGGTAACAATCACAAATTAGTGGGGATGGAATTGCTTTCTTCATTTGCGCATCCTAAAGAAATTTTTGCTATATGTCTTTATCGAACGTGTTCATTTCCAACAAACCAAGTACTTCAATCGTTTCAATCATGTGCCGTTGTATTACTACATTTTACGTTGCGTTGTATTGATTTATACATTTTATATTCCAGCTCACCAATTCCATCATTATAAAAACATCAAAAGATTCTCTTTTTTTGAAATTAATATCTCATTTTATGTAGCATAACAGTTCAAGCGGCATGAAGACTTGTTACGAGTTTTTAAAAAAGACAAGCAGATCATTTTACGCAGTTATCGAAATGTTGAATCCCGAAATAAAGTACTTTTACAATTTTTTAATGTTAATTTTTATAAAATTACTATTAACTTATTATGTGCACATAAGTTGCAATACAATATTATACTTGTTCAGAGATGCAATGTGTCTGTTCTACTTGGTTCTCAGAGCCTTGGACACTGTAGAAGATGATATGACTATAGAGAAAAGTTTGAAGATTAAATTACTTTCACAATTTCACAAATTTTTGTACGCTGAAAGCTGGAATTTTACAAAAAGCTGCAGTAACGACCGAATTGTGTTAGAAAATTTCTCCGTGGTAAGCAAAAATATAAATTTTTTTACATTGAAAGCTTTTTTATTATTTAGTTTTGAGGTAAAAAAAATTATTTAACTACTTTTGTAATTTATCTAAATTTTAATAGAAATATTTTAGTTAAATTAATTTTGATTACATTTCAGATTTCCAAAGAGTTCAGACACTTAAATAAGAAATATCGCGAGATTATTAGCAAGATATGCATGAAAATGGGCAAAGGAATGATCAAGTTCTCGAACTCTTCACCTCAAAGTCTCAAAGAGTTGGATGAGGTAGAATCATAAATTTTGACTGAAATAATTGTAACATAGCTTCTTAAGTCAATTCAAATCTGACAAATCAATAAGACATATGGCTATCTCTATCTTTCCTGCTACGTGCTACGACGAGGGAAAGAGAGCAACACCTTTTTAATCTAAATTATAAACACAATATGAAAATTTTACTGAATAATTGTTTAAACAAATTTAAAAAACAACTCTCCATTTCTTGATAATAAATTAATCTCCTTTGTCAAGTACTGCCATTATGTAGCTGGCTTGGTTGGCATTGGTTGCACTTCCTTGTTCACTAGCTCCGGCCTGGAAACAAACAACATCAAACTTACAACAGACATTTCCAATTCTCTGGGATTATTTTTGCAGAAAACAAATATAATCAGGGATTATTTGGAGGATGTTAATCAAAACCGATATTTTTGGCCCAAACAGGTTTTGTCACGAAGAACTTGTTGTCTTGTAAACATTCTTTTGATTGTAACGTTATTTTTGCAATGTAAATGTAGGTTTGGAGCAAATATGTCGAAAATATAGAATACTTCAGTAAGCCAGAGTTTTCTAGAGAAGCGCTTCAGTGTTTAAATGAACTCATTACAAATGCTTTGGCTCATGTCAGTGATGTTATAAACTATCTGTCGGCAATCAGTGACGAGTCCGTGTTTCGATTCACTGCCATACCACAGGTTCTACAAGATAAAGTATTTTTGATTCGTGGTATGGATATAACGACTCTATGTGTATCTATAGTTTGACATGAATCAATTGATTTTTAAAGCGTCGTTAACTTGATATATTGTTTAAAACAACTACGTCTATGTTGAAAACTTAACTAACTTAATTACATATTTTATTAATATTCCTTCTTTTACGAGCCAATCAATGCATTCGAAATGCAATTTTTGTTATGAATCACTCTCATAAATTTGCTGAGCATTCATTTTCATCATGCACCATCTTCATCTCTGCTAATAATTTATTACTCACTTCTCGCCTAGTAAATTGATTAAAAATCAATTGATTAAAAACCAATGCTAAATCTTACTTAGTAAAAACACCTGACTGATTTATTTGTAGACGTGAATGTTCACGATTGAATGATTAATTAACTTACGATGTGTATGTACATATGTATATTATTTATTATTCCTTAAATGCTTTATTTACACCGAAACGATTTACCTCAAGGTGATGGCAATAGCCACGTTGGAAAGATGCTACAACAACGTGTTGTTGTTTAATGGAGTTGTTAAGATCAGAAAAGGAGAAGCCATTTGTCTGATGAACGAAGCAACAAACATTACGAAAGTTAAGCTCATATTTATGCGCTATTTAAATAAAGTAAGTATTTATTTCATTTTTTTATTAAATTTATTTCTTTATTTATTGTATTTTTTTGTTATCCACGTCAGATTCGCTACAGAATTACTGCAAGAGATCCTTCAGCCATTCAAACCATGCGAGAAGTTGAAAGAGCGATGCAAATTTGCAATCCCAACAATTGCGAAAGGACATCGACATCTTTTAAAGAAATTTGCATATGTTGTATCATTCTCGCAATTTCGTTTTTGTTTGTTTGTTGGAGATGTAGCGTTTTGATTTAGCGTTTTGGTGTGAATATTTTTTCGTAAAAGGACCGATCAGCTGTTCCAAACTATTATAAATTCGACGCTAAGCAATCAATTGGCGTTATTCTAAAAATATCATCAAATGACAATTGTCAACGACAAATGTTATAAACTGTTTTAACAAAGGGGTGTTCAGGATAAATATTGTCAATTTAATGTTTGCGTTATCAAATTTATTAAAAAATTCAATAGTTTGAAATATTGCTTGCAACAAAATAATAAAACTTGCATTGATTATTGCGTGTTATTCAAATGCAACTCAAAATAGTTGAACTGATTTTAACCTTGACACATCTTTGGTCAATTTAATTGTTCAGCATGATGTTTGCTGATTGTACTAACGTTAACGCATTTGTTTAATTTGTTCTTTAGTTATACGAGCTTTGCTTCTAGGTTTATGATTTTTATTAAACTTACAATTTCAAATCGATCGAAGTTTTTACATTTAATCGTTTGATTTTTATAAAAAAAATAATTGGAAAAACACAAAACATAAATAAAAGTACGATTTTTTGTCTCACACATGTTATTGTTTGCATATGCACCACATTTTCCATTGTATTGTGGCTTTGGCGTTGTGATTGTGCTGATCAATCATCATTGTATGAAAAATTGTTTCTTTACAATTGCATCATTCACATTCATTTAGTTAAAAATCGCTAACTGCCTAATCTATTAGTTTTTAAATCGATTGGTTTTTATGTCAAAACATTTACATTTACACTGATCATTCCTTGTCCCCAACTGGCTAATAAATTATCTTACAGTATGGAGCATGCTCATACAAAAGCAGTGGAAGAAATAGTGAAATATTTCAATTCGAATATTGATGATGGGCTGTCGGATGAACAAGTTTTAAAAAATCGAGAAAAGTTTGGATACAATGGTTTGTTTGTTTTGCAGTTGAAAATGTTTAAAAATATTCAATTATTAAATTAATCTTCTTAAGTCATTTTGTTTGAATGTCAACCTCAACCTGCTTCTTTGAGTTGAGATTAATGATTAATTGAATTATGTTTTGTTTGGATATCAGTCTTGTTGTTTAGTTTAGGTATCTGCTTGTCTTGTTGTTTAGTTAGTTATTTATTTAGTTGTTTATCTGCTTGTTAGTTTGGATGTCAAAATCTGTTTTTTTGTTTAAATAATAAATATAAACCTGTTTTGGTGTTTTTTTAATATTTTTTTATAAATCCTAAAAATTCAATTTTCAGAGTTGCCAGCAGAAGAAGGTCTGTTAAAACAAAGAATTCAAGAATTTCAACAATTTGTTAAATTTTATTACAATTTTTATTCCCAGACCAAAGTAGATCCTTTTAAAAACTTTAATATAAAATTTAACAGGAAAGCCACTGTGGAGGTTGATATTGGACCAGTTTGAAGATCTATTAGTTCGAATATTATTGCTGGCTGCTATCATATCATTTGTAATATTTTTGTTATTTCAGAATTTATTTAGAAATGCATTTCATCAGAATCATTTTTTCATTGAATTTATAGGTGTTGGCATTATTTGAAAGCGAGGAAGAGCAGATAACAGCCTTTGTTGAACCCTTTGTTATCCTTTTAATCCTCATTGCTAATGCATGTGTGGGTGTTTGGCAGGAACGAAATGCAGAAAGTGCCATTGAGGCCCTTAAAGAATATGAACCAGAAGTTGCAAAAGTTATAAGGAGGAACCATGTTGGTGTTCAACAAATCAGGGCCAGAGAATTGGTGCCTGGTGACATTGTCGATGTCGCTGGTTTGTTATTGCGGTTGTTCATTAATTGGTCTCTCAGCTAACGTCTTGATTTTTTTTCTTTAATGGCCATGGCTGTGATATATTATTTCATTCATTTTTTAATTATATACTAAATATGCACCAGTTGGTGACAGAGTTCCAGCAGATTTGAGACTGGTGAAAATATTTTCGACCTCAATAAGAATTGATCAAGCTCTGTTGACTGGGGAAAGTGTGTCAGTGATAAAACAAACTAACCCAATTGGGGATACGAAGGCTGTCAATCAAGATAAACTCAACATCTTATTTTCTGTAATCATTCTTTATTCACCTTCCTTTTTCTATGTTAACTCCATAGATTCATTTTCTTTAATCAATACATCAGTAAGTGATTTTTAATTTTGCTTGTTAGGGTACAAACATTGCCATTGGCAAAGCAAGAGGGATTGTTGTAGGAACTGGTCTGAACACAGAAATAGGAAAGATTCAGAAAAATTTGAATGAAGATTCAGATTTCAAAACACCTCTACAGCAAAAATTAGATGAGTTTGGGCACCAGCTCTCAAAACTAATAACAATAGTTTGTGTGGCAGTCTGGGCTATCAATATAGGACATTTTAATGACCCCGTACACGGAGGCTCTTGGTTTAAGGTTTTCTGTCTGTCTGTCTGGTTGTTAATTTTACAATTTTTCGTTGGATGTTTTTGCCTCAGTGTACAAATAATGTTGAATCGCAACTACCACCAAAACAACAACAGGGAGCCATCTATTACTTCAAAATAGCAGTGGCTCTTGCTGTAGCTGCCATACCCGAAGGTTTGCCTGCTGTCATCACAACTTGCTTGGCACTGGGCACGAGGAGGATGGCTCGGAAGAATGCAGTTGTCAGGTCATTGCCCTCTGTTGAGACTCTCGGATGTACTTCTGTCATCTGCTCTGATAAAACTGGCACTTTAACAACTAATCAGATGTCTGTCTGCAAGGTTGGTGTTTGTGAAGCCATCACTGTGAAAATCCTCATCATTGCAGTTATTATTATTTTTATCATTAAATAGGTGGCTATTGTAGACACAGCTCATGACAGCAAAGTTTTTTTTAATCAGTTTGGTGTCTCTGGAACTACATACAATCCTGAAGGCATTGTGTTAGTTTTGTTGCATTGTGCTGCTGCTTGCTTGTATTGTTCTGTTGTAATTGTCATTTTTGTGCTTGTTGTTGTAGAAAAATCGTTTTAATTTGTAAATAATTTAATCTCAAGTCGTATGCATTGTGCATTAAATTCCAACAGAACACTGAATGGTAAGAAAGTAATTGCATCTGATTATGAGGCTCTCAAAGAATTGAACACCATCTGTGCTCTCTGCAATGATTCAAGTCTTGATTATAATGAGGTCTCGTTTGAATGTCTGTTTGTGTGTGTGTGTGTACGCGCGTGTATATATAATTAGCAAACTTGCTCTACAATGCTGTTTGCCTACCCTCTGTGACGTGCTGCAATGTGGTTTGGATCGATGCTTATCAATCGACCCCAAGAAGCATGTCCAGATCGTCATGTTGCCAAAGGAAGCAAGCAAGCACGCCACATCTACTGAACTATCCATTGCAACTAACAATCCGGATTTTAATAAATTAAACATATATTATACTGATTTTTTTATAGACAACTTTCAAATAAGCTTTCTCCTCCTATTATGAATAATTATTTTATCTTTTAGTCTCATAAACTACCTGTTATATGATAAACCTAGAACAAATATTCTTTTTTACGTGTTATCTAAAAATGTGACTGATTGTCGTTAATTATCATGATTATAATGTTATCAACAGACAATATTACTAACACCTAGCATAGTTTTACTAACATAGTTGAGCTGTTTTTTGATAACTACAGTAGTACTCCTCTCCAACTACCTCCCCATCTACGACTCTCTCTCATTCCTGACCGTTTTGTTTCTGACGGATTGTTTTCGCATTAAGCGATACTCCCGATCTACGACTCCCTCCAACACCCCACCAACGACCTTAAAAACACAAAAAATTATCATTAAAATGTAAAATTTACGACTTTTGTAAAATTTTCCAAGCGTTTTTTGAAGTGTGGATTCAAGATACCAACAACTAATGTCATTGAAGGTAATCATTTTCTGGTTTTTATGTTTGTTTTCATCATTTTTTTTTAAGCTGTTGTCTTTAAATTTAATTGGGAAACGTTTATTTTTTTTAAACCACATTTCAACTTAAGAAAAAAATATTGAATGTGTAAATAATTTTCAGATAATGTAGCACAAATTGAAATAAAAAAAAGAGAGTCCTGCAAATGATATCGAATTTCTCAATGGTATGACATTAGAAGAGTTTGCTGCAGTAGATGACGAAGTCCCAACCTGTACTGGAACAGAGGAAAATAACCTGGATGTTCAGTCACAGCCTGAGGAAGATCCAAAATAAGTTGGAACCGATGAAATAATTGGACCAGTGATTTTTTTACCGCTGATGCTAAAAGTACTCAACAGTTGATTCATTTTGCACTGACTCATGGATTTCAAGGCATTCCAGAACTTTTGGAAAATTTTCATGGTCAAATTCAAACAGAACATTTTAAAAAGAAATCAACAGTTGTTCAATCTCCACTTCATTTTTTCCCAAAGCAAATTAAATTTTTGAGTTTGCAACATGGTTTTTCCATGTTGTTTATTGTATGAATATAACACAATGCAGTGTACATCTACTAATAAAAAATAGTGTATACATCTTGTGTACCTTTTTTTTTGGTTGTAAATATGCTTTCTCCTCATTTAAGACCCCTCCCTTTTAAGACAGTATTTCTATGACATTTTTAAAGTCGTTAATAGGGAGTACTACTGTAAAATGTTTATGAATTATTTGTGAAATATTATCTTTTAACTATTTATGTTCAAAGCTGTAAACAATATTTATTATTTCTGCTAAATGAGTCCTCTTACGAACTCTAACATGGTCTTATCAATTTCTAAATTTTAAGGAGCTGATAAAATTTCATTCCAAACACATTAACATTAGAACATTGTTTTTAGAAATGTTATCATACTAATGGCAATTGTCGTTACAGGCTAAAGGATGTTATGAGAAAGTAGGAGAGGCTACAGAGACAGCCCTAGTGGTGATGGTCGAGAAGATGAACGTATGCAACGTGAACAGGAGCAAGTTGTCAAAGAAGGATGCCGGTGGTTACTGCAATAGAATGCTGTGCAACGCGTGGAAGAAGAACTTTACATTAGAATTCTCGAGAGATCGAAAGTCAATGAGTGTCTTCTGTACATGCACACTTCCCGAAGAGCATAAGAAGATCAAAGGATTCGTTAAAGTATGTACGAGTTCGATGACCTCATAACTTGCTGCTATGATGATGGTGACAATTGAAATGGTGTTTGTACTATTAGTGACAATGATGATGCCGACTGCGATTATTTATACGTCAGGGTGCCCCGGAAAGTGTACTTGAGAGATGTTCGTACATCAGGGTGGGCAAAGATCGTATGCAATTGAATCCAGAGATCAGGAGTCAGATCCTCAAACAAGTTAAAGCCTATGGCACTGGTGAGTCATTGTTTATGCTGCCGATGGAAATCGTGATGGTTGAGTTGATGATGGTATTAATGATTTAACAGGACATGACACACTAAGAGTCCTTGCACTGGCCACCATAGATGAACCACACAACATTTCTCAGTGGAATCTTTCTGATCCGAGCAAGTTCATTCAATATGAAGTATGCATTCTACTTTCCCTATGTTTTTATTTTTTATTCATACTATTTTGTTATATTGCTGTTGGCAATTACTGTAGTTGATTGTTTTATATTGTCTATATATGATATTGTGGTTATCATAATTTTTAAGTATAATGCAAAATGTTTCACATCAAGTCAAACTGTACATTTGTTGGCCTGGTTGGCATGTTGGACCCCCCCAGAACAGAAGTGAGCTCTGCCATCAAGGAGTGTCATGATGCTGGCATTAGAGTTATTGTCATAACAGGAGACAACAAGGCATGTCCAGTTCAACTGCCAACATCTCATTCACCAATAAAAATCAATGACATGCTGATCTTAAATTCAAATCATGTGTATACAACAATAGATTTTAATATTCACCTGTAACGATTGTTATCTAATTTTTCAAACGGCTGTTACCTTTGATTTATAATGACATTAATGCGTGATGATGTTATTGGTCCAGGCTACAGCAGAAGCCATATGCAGACGAATTGGAATTTTCGAAGATGATGAAAAAACAGAAGGCAAGTCATTCACAGGCAGGGAATTTGATGAGTTGAACGAGATGCAGCAGGCTAATGCAGTTAGAAGGGCTAAGCTGTTTGCAAGGGTTGAACCTAGTCACAAGAGTAAAATTGTTGAATATCTTCAAGCATTTGGTGAAGTTACTGCCATGGTGAGTTGCTTGGCTGGTTAATTAGTTGCTTAATTCGTTGGTGAGTCGCTTGCTTGAAATTTTTATGAGGATTAAGACTTTATCGTTTTTTTGTGGTTTGAAAATAACCTTATACACATACACACATTATTGTAACCTACATGAAATAAACTTTAGACAGGAGATGGTGTGAATGATGCCCCTGCTTTAAAGAAAGCTGAAATTGGAATTGCCATGGGATCAGGTAATGCGATCAGCGAGTTAACTGTCAAATGCATGTCAAATTTCCTGTACCTTGTGCGAGATGCAATCTACAGATATGATTATTCACTAAATAAGCGTTCAACGATTAATGATTATTTGTTCAACCGACATCTTATTTATTGTTAATGTGGCTCAAAACAGGAACGGCTGTTGCGAAGTCTGCATCAGATATGGTGCTTGCAGACGACAACTTCTCGACAATCGTTTCAGCTGTCGAAGAGGGTCGGGCCATCTACAACAATATGAAGCAGTTTATCAGGTCAGTCCATATACTAGTACATTAAATGGAGTTGAAGCAAGAGTTTAGCAACATTTTAGCAGACAAGTAGAATAATTATTAAGCTAGATATAATGATTTATAAAGACAGCCGTAATTGGTCAATTTGCAGATACCTGATATCATCAAACATCGGTGAAGTTGTTTGCATCTTTCTAACTGCTGCCCTTGGCCTGCCTGAAGCTCTCATTCCCGTGCAGTTGTTGTGGGTCAACTTGGTGACAGATGGCCTGCCAGCTACGACACTTTCGTTCAACCCACCTGATCTTGATATCATGCTGAAGCCGCCGAGGAGTCACAAAGAACCATTAATCACTAATTGGCTTTTTTTTAGGTTTTTTGTCAAACATGCGCTGTCTTTCGTTTGTATCTGTTTATTTCCTTGTGTGTGTGTGTGGTTGTGTTTGTGGTTATGGTTAGGTGTGTGTGTGGTTGTGCCTATGTTGTGCTTATTTATGTACTTTTATTGAAAGGAATGAAGATTAATTTAAAATGTTGTGCGCAATTTTACTACTAGGCTCTTATTATGATAAGAACATGTACGTGCGAGTGCGAATACTATATGATGCCAATGTATGCATGCGTGCACGTCTGATTTCAGATACATGATAATTGGAAGTTATGTTGGCGTGGCAACAGTCGCAGCAGCAACGTGGTGGTTTGTGTTGTACTCCGGAGGACCTCAGTTCACATACAGCCAACTTGTTTGTTTTCTTCTTTTTTTGTTTCTCTTTCGTGTCATCATTTTAGTTTTTTTTAACAGTTATCGTTGTAATCATTTGTGTTATAATCTTCGTCACTATAATTGCAGACCCATCATTTGCAATGCTCTCCATTAAAAGATGATTGGAAAGGCGTGGATTGCGATATGTTCTCCCACAAGAAACCAATGACAATGGCTCTGTCAGTTCTCGTTGTTATTGAGATGTTGAATGCCCTCAACAGGTCAGCTACCTTCGTGTTCCACGTCGCCTACATATATGCATGCACTCACTACACATTGTAGCCATACAAAGCAACATGGCTTAACAACTCACCAAACATAACAGTATATCAGAGAATCAGTCGTTGCTTGTGATGCCTCCCTGGTGCAACCTCTGGCTGATCGGCGCCATCATCCTTAGTATGACTCTCCACTTTGTTATATTGGAAGTCCCCTTCCTTGCTGTTAGTGCTTCTGCTGTTTTTGTTCACACACACACATGTCGCGTTATTTCTATCTAATTTATGTAGAACGTTTTATAGTGAAAAAATATGCAAACAATTTTCAGATGGCAATCTATAATCCTAATATTCTCCTCCATCTGTCGACCTATTCCTCTTTTTTTTACCCAGCTCATGACCTTTCCATTTCTGTCATGTTAAATTAAATATTTTTACAAATCTGCCTGCAGACAATCTTCCAGATAACACCGCTGAATGTTACGGAGTGGATGATGGTCCTTAAGATCTCGGTGCCCGTCGTACTGATCGACGAATTGTTGAAGGTTATATCGAGATTGTACAACGAGGGTACTTCTGCATTGAAACAAGCCGCGTATGTACCCATCATGTGGGCCCTATACGTCGCATATGTCTACAATTATTGAACTTTTTTATCTATTTCTTAATGGTTTTTTATTGTCGTTTAATAAATAAGTTGTGACCCTGCTCTATTATATGTTACTGATGTGTTTTATAATGTTTAATGTGACTATTCGTACATACAAATAACTTTTTTCATTGTACCTGTACATTCTTAGGTATGTAAATTTATTTAATTTTGCGCCTGCATTTATGCATACCTGTATATATAATTAAATGGGATAATTTATTTATTAGCTCTCTATAGGTAGGTACTTTTTGCTTGTGTTTTTGATGTCTTTCTTTGGATATTTTTCAAATGTATTTTTATCGTTTCGATCTACATTACTACGTAAAGTAATAATTCGATGTTTCTATTTTTATTATTTAAGTCTTGATCATTTGTTTATTTGTTAGGTCCTTAGCAATTTTACTCCAGCATGAATTATGTTGCGATGGCATATCAAAAATCAATCGAATTTCATGTAAGTCTGTATAAAGCAAGCTGGGAGATGTTCAGTTGAAACATGTACTACCTTATGATGCAATGCCAGAATGTTTATAACAAATCGACCGCTGTCATGCTTCATCACGTTCATACTTTATACGCGTTATTACACGCGCATGCATACGCGGGTTATTGCCTGCCTGCCAATCATTTATTCCTAATAGTGACTGATTTATTGGTAATTTACACTTTCGATAGTTGTCATTAATTTTGTTCTAACCACTGAATCGAGGAAAGCAAGAGTTGATCTATTTCATAGAAATATATTAGTCGTTTTTGCCGTCTTGCGTGTCATGCAATAGCAGGGCCTGATCACTCACTTGCTTAAAATTTTCCGACAAAATTACTATTAACTAGTGACACTTCAAAATTTAAATTCTTATGTAATATGGTTCATTTCATGTTTGATTCCGTGAGAAAGACATTCTTCCATGTGTCCGTCACCATCCACGTTCATTAAATGCATCAAGTTGCACAGGCGAAACGATTACTACGTTACTTAATATTTCTAGCACTGCACATATGACGACTGCTGTTAACTGTTTAAAACTTTGCTTAAATGCATACGCCATCAACAATGTAACCTATCGCGTTCATTTCAGTACATGCATGTCGTGTATGACGCACGAGTGATGTGCGTTGTGTCGCTTAGTTACTTGGCAAACGAACGAACTTCCTTCTTCCATGTACCTATTTCAGCGCTTTCATGTTTTTACTATAAAATGTGTTTAAATTTCAGGTCAATAATAATTTTTCTTTGCCATTTTTTACGTTTTCGATGACACCAGATACCGTTAACTGAACAGTCATTTAAATAACGCATCAAATTTATATTATATATAAAAAAATTTATAATTCATATTTACGATTTAAGATAATCAATAAATCAAAAGACATACTTCCTTAGCCTCCAGACACTACGACACCAGCCAGTATATATTTTCTATTATATATCATATATATGTTTATATAAAAACTAATATTTAAAATAAATAATAAACCAAACGGTACAACATTGCCTTAAAAGCTGTAAAAGTCTAAAATAGCTCATTTAAAAAAGGAATTAACTTATTTGTAACTATAAGTTGTCATGAAACGTCAAATTACCATTGAAAAACATCGAAGTAGTCATCATCAAAGCTGTTTTTTTAAATAAAAATTTTCATTAAAATATTATTCAAAGTCTATATCTTCATCGGAATCGTCGACGTGATAGTTTATTTTCTGCTTGTTGGTCCGTCCGAGTCTTTCTCTCAGTGGCACGTATGACTCCATCTTCTCGTCGTCGTCATCATCAACAGCACCACCAACTTGAAAGTCGTCATCATCATCATCATCACCCTTCTTTTTCTTGGCCGCCTGCAGATTTATAATTTCACTTGAACGTAATTTTGATGGTCTGAATTGAAAACTGGTAATTTATCATTAACATGCGAATATAAACCATTCATACATTGAGTAGAAAAAAGAAAAACTAGTATCGTTATCGTAATTGCATTACCTGGATCGAATTCAGTCTCAAATTTGAACAACAGTAAATTTAAACAAACTTTAGATTTTTTCGCATTGAACCCATCATTAGTTGCATTATCATCTTCCTCGTCACTGTCAAACTTCTTAGCAGACGGTTTTTTAGGTTTTTGTACTTTTTTCTCACCAGCAGTAACGCTATCTTTGGCTGCCTTGGTCTTTTTATCCTCTTTGGCTATTTTCGGTTTTGGAGCTTTGAGTTTGGCAGATTTTTTAGTGGCTGGAAGGAACTCATCATCGTCGCCATCATTGATTTTAAAATCTGAGAGGTCACCACCATCTGACGCACCTTCAGTATCGTCGTCGTCGTCATCATCGTTCTTTGCTCGCTTTCTTTTCTTAACTTTCAAGGCTTTTTTTAGTTCTTAGAAAAAATAATATTAATTAATATTCGTAAGAAAGGATGTCTATAAAAACTAACAATATCGGCTACTGGAAAGTTTGAGATAAAACTTCACAAAGATTTATTAAAAGTTTAGCAATGAACTTGTTCAGGGAAAATATTGTTTCAGAAAATTGACTAATGTATAACTAAAAAGATTTTGCTCCGGTCCAATCAAAAAATGATGTGAGAAGAGACCATGAAAGACGAGTTACTTCAATGAGAATGCGCTGTTACATTCTATTGCTTCGAAGAAGGAATAGTGACATGATCAATTTTATCTACATTTTATTTATTATGATCCAACCATAGCAGATATTAACTTTGAATAGTAAATAATGAAGATTTAAGTGAGAAAAAAATAAGAGCATGACTGATGTGATGATTGCCAACCTGGGCTAGCACCCAATCTATCAGCAAGGGATCTTGTATCTGTATCATTCAGTTCAACATCCTCCTCTGTTGTTGTTTTCTGATGGCGAACGTGAAATTAATTCATAGTTTATATTAATAAATAAATAATCGCCCTTATTAAGATCACTTTTAACAGCATGCCCTCAGCATCAAAACAACAGGACACGACGACATCATACCTTTTTCTTTCTACCTCCACCAGCATTCTTTGCAGCTTCCAATTTATTCCTGAGTGCATCAGTAGATGGAACGACACGAACTCCACTTGGTGACGGCCGGGTCTCCATGCCTGACCCCTTCTTACCGACCTTGCCCTTTGCTGCCTTCCCTGATGGATGGCTCAACCCAGAAAGTTCATCTTCCTTTTCCTGTTGTTCCACTTTCTGAAATGACAAAAAGATAAGAAAAAATTGGCTAGCTAAAAGATTCATAAAAACGTCTCAAAAAAGAATTATCAAAATCACAAATCAAAAGATTAAAAAATTGATAAAACAACACACACACAAACAAAGAAATCATTAACAACAACAACAACAACACCAACATCCAGCTCAGCAATAAAAGCATCAAGATCATCTCTCCAGAGGTCTGTGGGAGATTTTTTCCTCAATGCATATAACTCATCTGCCTTCTTGTTCTTCTGTTTCAAAAGTTCCTCCTTGCGTTCCTTGGTTAGACACCAGAGTTGCATGGTGAGAATGTAGTTGAAGTCTGGCCCCTTGCTGTCATCATTAGCATGATCACTACCATCGTTATCCTCATCATCTGATGGCAGATCTCCATTCGAGGACTGTTTATGTAAGTAGCACCATTATTTAGGTAGGTAGGTAGTTGGGTAGGTATGTAGCTAGATGGACGAGTGGGTGAGTAGGTAGAAAGTTAGACAGGAAGACAGATAAGTAGGTAACACAATAGTGCTGACGGCAAGAATGATTAATAATCATGACAAGAATAATAAGACAACCATTAAAAATTGAGTTAAATCAAAAAATACATCAGTACATTACATTGACATACATACCTTCATCCCATCCTTATGTAGGCATTGTTTAAAGTGTTAAAAAATAAGATCAGTTATTTATATAACAACTTTCAAATCAAAATGAATATTTAAAGAACATATCAATCAATCAATCCATCAACCTGAAGTTTAGCTTGAACTTTCTTCCACGACTTAACAGGATCGGAATCATATTTTCGACTGATCAGCAGCTTTATTATATCTTTCTTTGGCACATTCTCTGCATGCATGAAGAAAACATCAAACCATCAAAACCAACAATGAATGATAAGATGCGATATGATAAGATGACGATAACGATAACATAAAAACTACTGCCATACCAATATAGATGATCTTATCAATCTTCTCCACAATGAATCTGGCTTGATTGTCCAGCTTGAGTGACTCTGCAGCCAACATCCCTTCCAAATAATCCTTCCTTCTTCTGTAGAACTCCAACCTCAACTCAAAAAACTCCTTCATGATAGATTCCACAGTGTCAAACCTCCTGATACAGCCAGCACCGTCGAACAGGACCATCGAGTTTGTTGAGAACGTTGTTTGAAGTTTGAAGAATCTGTGCATGCCTTGTTGTTGAGCCTTGTACATCACTTCCGACGACACCTTCACGACAAATCGAACCGTCAGGTCGGTGTGATACTCCTTATAGTCTCTGTGTAATGAATTGGTTAGTAAATAAGCTATATAATGTTGTATAATGATTTAGGTGCCTTGCTTGAATGTGATATGAAATTTTATAAACATATTTATGTAACTATTAATAAATGCAACTCAAGTTTAGACTCGATTAATAGACACATTTAAAAATTTGTCTAAAGATTCTTTAGTTACACTTTATGAATCTTTAATCAGGTCAAAGATAGAATATGCGACGTGGGCACGGTCTCTTGGAGTCATAGAAGACATCGAACGTGTTCAGAAGAAGGCTACTAAGATGGTTAAGGATTGCTCTGAAATGAAAGACGAACAGCGATTGAGATTTCTCTCTACCTACACGAACTAACTTGTAGGTGTAAATTTTGAATGTTCTCATGTATATATGAACGAAAACTTATTTTTACTTTTTTAATATACGTGTGTGTGTGTATATATATGTGTACATATCTTTATACGTGTAAATATGTATATATCTGTATCTAGACAGTCGCGAATTAATTAATTAATTAACTCCTTTATATGTATTCATTTGTGTGACTTCTTGCACGTACTTCTATAGTTATACAGAATAATTTTATTTATTTGCTGTTATTTTAATGTAGTTTCTTTTTATGTAGTTTATTTATTTTTTTGACATTACTATTACTCTTTCAATTTGAAGGTTATAGTTTGTTGGAAGCATAGGAAGGACAATTCGCGCATCATTATCTGTTTGTGTTATGTTACAAGTTTTCAGCATGCTCCTATCAACTCACGCAACCATAAAAAACATTTTTCTCCTTCTACGAAAATTAAATTCCAAATTAGTTGGTTAATTCAGCGATCAAAGTCTTTAAAGTAATTTCCTTCTTAAAATTTAATATATTACAATTGAAATAATCCTTCACCCTGCTCAAAACTCAAGACATGAACTCTAGAAACTGAAATGAATGAAACTCAACATTTAGTTTTCCTCCTAACTCACTGTCAGACTGGGAGAGCCCACGACATAAGAAAAAATAAAAAAGTATGTAGGCCGGCAAGCAAGCAGGCAGGTAACCAACTGGATGACAGCAGGAATCTTTTCAGAGCCTTGCAGCATGGGCTCCAGGACAGATTCCTTGTAACTTTGTGTCCATACCCTGACAGGCAGCTCAGTGATTTCAATGGTGTTGTCGTCCAAGATGGATATCTCACCATTCGATACACACTTTGTGTTGTCGATCTGCTCAATTGTGCCTCGGAAATTTTTAAATGATGGGATCTAGAATGGAAAAGTAGAAGATGTCATGATTATTATCAACACTATCAGCCCAACAACCAAGGAATGACTACACCAACAGCACATTATCAACAACAATGAAACCTAACTAACCATTGGCAACGGTTCACGACCATCAATCATCATCCTGATATTGTTGACAATCTCTCGAATGTCATAATTTGGGATCTTCGTACTCCATCCAGTCCCGATGCCTTCTGCTCCATTCACAAGGATCATGGGAATGATGGGCATGTACCACTCTGGTTCGATCCTTGTTGTGTCGTCTTGCAAGTATTTGAGCAGTGGGTCATCGTGCACGTTGAACATGTGGCGTGCCAGTGGGCTGTCATTAACATATCAATTTGTGCCTTTCTTAAAACATCTTCATTTTTTTCCAATCACTACCATTCAATCATCTTGTTCATCACAGCATCGCCATTCAGGCCATCATCATCATTCCCTAAAAAGTTCAACCCACCTTAGTGCAGTAAAAATATAACGTGGACTAGCAGAATCCTTGCCTCCATTAAGCCTGGTGCCAAACTGACCAATGGGAAGCAAGAGATTTAAATTGTTGCTGCCCACAAAATTCTGAGCCAAGCCAATTATGGTTGCCATCAATGAATTCTGTTTATCATTGATGGGTGATGAACAAACGAGATCAATAATATTTCTACTCTATTTTAAATGGTGACATTTTTTCAAGATAGTGAACATTGTCACCATTGTTAACCTCGCCATGATGATATGATGACAATTCGGCCACGGAGCCGGCCAGCTGAGCTACCTTCAACTCTTTCACGAGATTCCTCTTCAAACAAGTGAAGATCACCTTCCTCTGCCCCGGTTTGAAGCCTTAATCATTCATTTCAATTAGTAGTCATACAAATCCTAAGCAGAAACATCGTGGTTCTAATTATTTTAACATCATCACAACCAACCATCAACCAATGAAGGGATGGATCTTTCATTATCCATGTTACTGTACAATATAAGCTCCTTGTTCACAAACTCATTATATGAGATGAATCTGGTATCTTTGCCGTACAGGTAGGTCTGTTGGTATTCATTCATTCATTCATTCATCAACATCCACATTCACTACCGCCCACTGAAAAGCATTCGTCCACCAGCATCCAGAGCCCGTCAGTACATGCTGCCCAACGTTCACCCACCTCCTGCAGTCCAATCTGAGCTCTCCTCTTCCGCTCCTCCATCCAGTTGGTCAGCCACTCCTTCCTTTCTTCAATCTTTTTCTTACTGAACGCCTGTTCAGATATCAATCCAACAGATTATTAGAATATGAAATGATTTCAATGTTTATAAAGCTTCAACTTGTTTTCACACACACACCCATGCACACCAATTAAAAAATTAACCAGGATGATGGCAGAATCATCTTGGAGGCCGGCATTTTTGGAAGGTATTCTATGGTGATTCATGTCACTGAAGTACTCCTTTGCTTTCCTTGCAGTTGAAAGTACCAAAACCTGTAATCATTCATTCATTCATTCATTTATTCACCTTGATATTTATAAAATTCTTCACTCATTTATTCCTCCATTTTGTAAATTATTCAAACCATTACCAGTTTGTTGAATAATTTAAACATTTGTTTGAATGAATAAAAATGAAAGCAAAAAACACCTTTGTAATATTTAATTCTCCATGTATGCCAGTTCTCAGTTGCAGCCTTCCATTCTTCAAACTCAGGCAAGCTGTAAAATGACTTCTCCTGCTTATTTTTTGTCACTTTGACGATAGGAGTGATGAATTCTTCGAGGAACTTGTGTTGCAGGAGCTGTGGCCAGTTGTGGTGGATGAAGTTGATGAGGAGGCCTTTGATGTGGCTGCCGTCCTGATCCTGATCCGTCATTATCATCAGCTTGCCATATCTGCAGTGTGATGGACAACAACATTGTCGTTGGGTTTCATTAAACAAAGGAAGATAGTTATCGCCTTTGCAAAATATAAATGAACCTGAGTGTTTGTAGTGAATCAGTTGAATCATACTTCTGCTTATACTGCAGTCCGATGATTTTTATGATGCTGTTTATCTCAGCATTCTCCATTATCTGAGAAGGAAAATTTAAACGTATGTCTTCTATGTAGTTGCTACAGTAACGGTCATTCATTATCATCACATCGAACCTGCTTGTGCACTGCATCTCGGACATTGAGGACTTTTCCCTTAAGAGGAAAAACTCCGAACCTGTCCCTACCCACAACTCCCAACCCTGCAACAGCCAACGTCTTGGCTGAATCTCCTTCGGTGAGTATCAGCGTGCAGTCAATAGAATTCTTTGTGCCTGCATCATTGGCGTCATCTAACTTTGGAATTCCTTTCAATTTTGAACGTTTTGTTCCCGATTTCTGATTGAGTTGGGTTTGCTGCTTGGCTCGCATCCACGTTTGGATGACTTCTATTATTCCACTCTTTGCTACCTGCACTCATTTGTAATCACAACAATATCAATACTACTAACACTACTTCTAGTATTACTACCACTACTACTATTACTACAACTACTAACGAAACAGTAGCCCGAATTGATCCCAGCAAAAAAGACATTGCAACATAACAACAACAAAATGCACTCAGCTAAGTTGCAAAATTTTAAATCATCACGCCATTACAGCAACGTTCACATTAATTACATTGCTACGACAACAACAATAATCAAATCATAATAATAAAACAGAATGCTAACGGCTCCATAGAACTTATCAGAGAGTGAACACTTGGAGCCAAAACTTTTGGCCTGCAGTGTCATATTCTCTTTCGTTTGCGAGTCAAACGTCGGATTCTCAATCAGTGAATTCACAAACACCCACAAATGATTCTTTACCTTTAAAATGCAAATTATAATAGAATAAAAATAAATGGATGAATGAGTGAATGAAAGATGGATGGATGAAAAGACAGATAGACGAATCAACTAACTTGGAATGGTTTTATGGCGATGCCAGTTTTCTTCTCCTTCTTCTTAACAATCTCAATCAGATTAGAAACAATGGCATCTGTCACATAGTCAACATGTTTGCCCCCCTGGTGCATGTGTACATGGATGCATGCATGTGTACATAGATGCATGGATGATCATGATAATATTAATAATTGTGACAACTACAGTGATGAAAGTAACAGTTGACCAACAATATAACAAAGAGCGAGACACAAACAAACCTTGGTAGTAGCAATGCTGTTGACAAATGAAACTTGTTGGAAGCCTTTGTCACTGGAGCAAACCGCCACCTCCCATCTATTGTTCACTGATTCAAAGACAACTTTCATAGGCTGCTCATTCTCATCCATTTTATCTTTAATATATAAGTCAACATAATCTTTGAAATTTTTAATCGGTAACTTCTTGCCATTGAGAAAAACTTTGACTCCTCTAGTGCTGCCGACCATGTCGTACGCTCGCCTCTTGAACAAATCCACAATGTCTCTGTCGAGTTTCTCCATTCTGAACTTTTCAAGGTCGGGGTAGAAGGTGACGCTAGTGAAGTCTTCGCCACTTTTTATTGGAGAAATTTTCACTTCACCAGCCTTCGACATGTTGTCCGTCCACATCTGATTTATTAATTCATTCATTCGATTAGATGAATGACGGAATGAACTTACAAATGAAAAAACAAACTAACAAATAACAAAATGAAAAAAGGAATAATTGAATAAAAAATGAAATGCTTGAAAAAATTATTGAATGAATATTACTCACCTGTTTGAAAGTTTTATTGAATTCTTTGGATTGTGTCTCTACAATAAACTTTTTGCTGAATATATTGCAGAGTTTTGCTCCATAACCATTCCTACCCCCTTTGAAATTAATAACATTTTTATGTTATGTCGAAAGAAGTAAGTTTAGCCATCTAATGGTCATCAGAATGAAGATCAACATCATCTTCAAAAAACCAACCAGTCACTTTCTTCTCATCATCATTATAATTGCTGGATGTGAGCAGATGGCCAAAGATGAGTGTTGGTACAAAAACTTTTTCCTTTGCATGTTCAACCACGGGAATACCTTTTCCATTGTTCCAGATCTGAATCTTGTTCTCCTCCCTGTCTTATCAACAATCATTATCATCATCCACTACATTTGAATCGGTCATATTTCGAAAGATCCATCAAGAACACAAAAATCAAATATTATCACACAGTAGAAAAAGTTGAAAACAGTTAAGAGATGGATGGATGAGGTAATTGAATGAAAGAACATACGGGTCAATATCAACTTTGATGGTGGTCATCCCTTGTGGGTCTCTTTGCTTGTTGTCAGCGGCATTCACTGTTTTCAAGATTTAAAAGGAGATTACAAATGACTCTTTGATTATTAATAACTTTTTAATACTTTCTGACATCTCCAATTTACTGAGGAGGCAAGTTGATTAAAATAGGTAACTTTAAATATACAGATTAAACAAGTTGAGAAAAAAAACTTCAATGCATGGACAGACAGAGGTTCATACCCAAAATTTCATCAAATATTTTGTACAGGCCAGGAACAAACGTGATGTCCTTTAAGACCATGGAGTCACTCAATTCATCATAAATCCACATTGGCTGGTTGGTTGAGGTTAGATTTAATAAATTGATAGGAAGGTTGTTGAAGTTTTAAGAAATGATGTTAGATCTAATATATTTTGTTATATGATACATGATGATATGATATAACAGATATGATGAACCATCCCATCATAAATATTAAGGATCTATGTAAGCAATTTGTATATAATACAATATATATGAATGGTAATGATGAACACACCTGGGTTGTTTTCTCTATAGAACCAATGTAAGTGTCTGGTCTGATGAGGATGTGCTCCAGTTGGGTCTTCTTCTGGTAAATTCGTTCAATGGACAATTTTCTCGGTTTGTTGGTTGGCATATTATCTGGTGCCTCCATTTCTGAATCTGAAGAAACATCATTGGCCCCACCGTTGGCTGCACTTGTGCTAACAATGTTCGACGACTTGGCTGCCATCTTTTGGAACAAACTCTAAACAAATAAATTACAAATTAGTGAAAAAATTTTATTGAAGAGATATTCAAAGACCATATTTAAGATTGAATTGTTAATTATAATGTCATGGCAAGGCTTTTAATTTTTAAAACTTGATAATAAAATAAATATTAAAACAAAATTTATAAAATAAATAGAATAAGAATAGAGACTAGAGATAGAGAGAAGGTAAGGATTTAAAACACACACACATACACACACACACACGAATACAATACAATACTACACAACACATGAATACAACAACAATAGTACAATCTGAATCTCGTAGAAATAAGATTTTACTAACGAAAGTTAAAGAAATGATACAAAACTTTAAAAAAGCTAACTAAAAACAAAAATCTGAAAATTAATTACAACTCACCGTGATTTTCGTTTCTTTCGACATTTTGGAAGCGAATAATTTGCAGTCAAAATTAATTTTTTACCGCTGTTTATGCGGCTTTGGAATGAATCCTGAGGCGCTTAATAATTTCAGTTAATCTTAGATAAACTTTTGGATGGCGCTATAAAATTATAAAAATTATTTGACTTAACCTAACTTCACTTTTAAATAAAAATCTACCTAAGTTGCCACCTGAAAATTTTAATCAACCGACCGTCGGTTTGTTGAATTGAAAAAGATTTTTTATTTGTCTTCAAAATATTTTTTTGTTATTTTAAGAAATTCATTTCTTGCTTTCAAATTTTTATCTAAGTAATTTATTAATCTGTAAATAAAGTCTTTTCATTGGTCCGGTTACTTTTTTGATCAATTAATTAAATTAATATTAAATTAAATTAAACTTATTAAATATTAAAAATTAAATTGAAATTAAATAAAAATAAAATTAGAAATTTTTATTTTTAAAGTTTAAACTTTAATTTTTAAAATTAGTTAATTTTCAAAAAAATATAAAAATTATTTTTGCTATTTTTATTTATTTATCAAATTAATCATTCAAAAAGAAGTCTTTAATTTGAATTTTTAAAGTTTACATTAGGCAGCCATATGGTTAAAAATTTTAAGATTTTCATTTCATTTTGGAGCAGTAAAAAACAATTAATTGCTATTTCATTGCCATCTTCATTAATCATTTTTAAAGTAAAAACTAAAAATAGAAAAATTCACTCTGAATTAAAAATTAATTAAGGTGTCCAATTTGATTTGATGTTTATAGTGTGTGCCTTATAATATTGTTTATGATAAAAAATAAATTGTGCATATTTTATTTCAATTGCATACATTTTGTGATAAAAGAGCAGTAAAATACTTTTACATATTTGTGTAAGAAGCAAGAAGCTGGTTTAATTTGAAATGACATAGTTTCAAATTTGGTATGTGTACCTATATAATAGTGAGGCACTCATTGAAGTTTTGTATCACGGTATATTTGTTTATATGTATGGATTTTTGTGTATGTACATTGTACATGCATGTATGTGTGTGTGTGTTTGTATGTATTTGTATTTGTGTTTTTGTAATCTAATAAAATTTCTTTTCATAAATTGAAATTTAAAAGATGAAGAGATAAATAATGAACTCATATATAATATATATATAAATACATATATAAGTTAAAAAAATATATATAAATACCTATATATGTTTGCATGTACAGTATATAGGAATGTGATGTTAATAGTTTTCATAATAAATGAACTCTAGCTTAGGCCTGCAATCAATATATATGAACACAGATGCTTGCAACATAACAATATGCTTCAATCAATATACATCATCATCACGTCACATCATCGTCGTCGTCGTCACGTCACTTCATCATCGTCATCATCATTTCATCGTCGTTCTCCTCATTCTCCTCCTACTTACTATCAACTCATCTTGATGAAAACAAATGTTTTATTTAATTGTAGTGAATTTGTACAGGCATGCATACAAAGTGCATACATTGGAAATGAAATATCACCAATGAAATGTCCATATGTACATTATTTGCATTTATTAAAATGTTTTCTAGTAACATAATGTTAATGATGATGGTGATGTAATTATTTAAAAAACATTTATAATTATCTAACAGCTGAGATCATAGAAGCAACTTCCATTTTTTTATTACAACAACAACAACAACTACTACTACTGCAACTACTACAGCTACTACTACTACTACTACAGCTGCTACTTCAGCTCTTACTAAACAGATATGTAAACAATTCAGCTGGCATCTTGAAATATGGTGAAACAGAATAAATGATTTGTAATTTTTATCAATGAGTGTTGGCATTTGTAAGAAGTAGCGTTTTGACATCATCATCGTCATCATCAACAACTACTACTACTACTACTACAAGTTCATAACCAACAATTTAAAAGTGGATCAAATGGAAAAATAACTTGAAGAGCAAATTACTGAACGGAGAAGCATTTCAACATTTGAATCATCACAACTGCATTTCTTGCAACCATCTAACCAAAACGTCAGCAACAACTTCAACAACACCTACAACGACAACATCACAAATGGACAAGAGCGACAACGAGCAACAGCAGCAGGAGGTTGACATAAGTTTCCTGACATCGGATGAGAGGGAGTCTATATTGAAGGTGTTGGCCAGGGATGAGTATGTGAGGAAGAAGGAAGAAGATAGAATCACGTGAGTCTGACTGATGACGATGAGGCTGTCATTGTTGATGGTTGGGATGTTGTTGGTGATGCTTGTCGACGGTAATGTGATTTGGTTGGTTGATGTGGTGATCATGATAGTAATTACTAGCACGTAAGAAAGTTGATGATGACCAGACACAGAGAATGAATTTTCTGAACTCAGGCAATTGAGGCAGGAGATTCGAAACCTGAGGGCAATGAAGTTCGCTCAGTTCTCGGTGGACGCCAAGAAAGAATGTGCCAGGTGTCAGGGCGAGTTCGGCTGGCTGATGAATCGGGCGAAAGTTTGCCACAAGTGTAATCAAAATGTATGCAGCAAGTGCAGACAGGCCCTCAACAGCGGCAGATATATTTGCATACTATGTCTTAACATCAGGTGCCTGTGTGTGTGTGGTGTGTGTGTGTGTGTGTGTGCGTGTGTTCATACGCTTATATGTTTTTTCGCCATCATCATTAACCTCGCTATCATCATCAACATCATCCACATCATCATCATCGTGATGACCGTCAGAGAGTTAGAAAGAATGAGTGGTAGTTGGTTCTACTCGAAGTATCCATCCAATAAGAAGAGTCGATCGTCCAGTCAGGTCATATCAGCAGTCGGCCTCTTGCGGGCCTCCCTAGATGATGTCGGCTCAACACTGCTCGGTAGGCTGCTGTTGTTGTTGCTGTTGTTGTTGCTGCTGTTGTTGTTGCTGCTGCTGCTGTTGGTGCTGTTGTTGTTCTTGTTGTTCTTGTTGTTGGTGGTAGTGGTGGTGGAGGTTCTTTCAACCACAGTTAGTTCATGCAAAGTGTCAAGATTTTGCGTTCAAGTGAATATTACGCTTGTTAATATGGAGAATTTTCTGCTATCAGCTGATGACTTTTTGAGATTAAGTAATGTTCACTTTATTGATGTTGTAAGTTAATTGTGTTTTCTGCTGTTTATTCATTTTCTGTTCATTCATTCATTCATTCATTCACATTACGTAATTGTGTTCCATTTTTGTTTATCACTATAAAATCATCACGCTATTTTGTCTTATTTCTTATTTTGCTATTCAATTAACTCCCCGTATCATTCATTTGTATATATGAATCTGCAAGTATGTAATTACATGGATGGGTGAGAATATATATTTTATGTAATATATATATTTATTTATTTATTGGAGAATTTATAGGGTGTCCTTTAATACTACTCACAAGGGAGTTTCTTGAGTCGCGTGGATTAGTCCATAAAAAGATTTTAAGCTTCATTCGAAACTTTCGAATTGACAACCCCAGTTGAGACAGGCTGATGTGGTTTGTTGCAAGCTGTTGGGCCTCAAATGGAAATTGTGTTGATGCAATTGTGATCATGACTTATTCATGTAGATGTGTGTGTGCGCGCGTGCTTGTGTGTGTGTGTTATATTGTGAAGCTTACTATCGTGCAACATATTAACCACTTACAAGCCCTGATGGTGACGACGACGACGATGATGGTGCGGTTCATTTGCACACGTATATTATATCGAGACCGTCAAGAAATAAATGATAATAATATTAAGAATTGAAGTAATGAAGAGACCTGCCGATACTATTTTTTATCCTGTCGGTCAAGATGCCAGAGTTCGTTCGGTGCACATGCAGTCAATCTTTGAAGTTCAGTTTGAGCTCTCCTATTTTAAACTGAAATTCACTTTTCAATTTGTTTTCTTTGATCTTTTTTGAAATGTTGCATGTTATTTTTTGGTTTCATTTTCTCTCTAAATGGTTCAAATTCGTTCAATAGTAAAAATTGACTCAATTCTTTCTGTTCTTGTGTAAATAAAAGTTATGATTGGCTTGTTGAGATTCAGAATCAATCAATCACGTTCAATAACCACCAGTTAGATGTAAAACAGCCAATCATGATTAGGCAAAAATTAATCCAATTGGTGACCTGCATTTTTTTAATTTAAAAAATGTTGGTTGTCTGATAGATTATGATGACAATTTCATAATAAGCAGTTAAAATATTTCAGTATTTCATTTTTAAATGTTTGAAATAAATTTGAAAAAATGTCTTTAAACATGCAACATTCTCAAATGTTCTTTCTTCTTTTCTCTAGATTCTTGCGACGTGATTGGCCAGCCAAACTCCCATGTGACCTCGTTAAAGCGCAGTCTGTTTAATGACGACTCAGCTCCTAACAGTATACATTATAAACACGGTCAGGATGGGAATGATGATGTGAAAGATGAAGTTGCTGCAAGTCACCTAACAATTAATCATAAAATTAATAATGGTGTAGATAGAAATGGAGATGAAATTTCAAATGAAAGTTTAAACAACGCTGTTGAGGAACCTAAACTCAATGATGAAACTATCCAACCGACCACAAAATGTGATGATGAGGACGACAACGATGATGGTAACATCAGCAGCAACAATCACATCAGCAGCAACAATCACATCAGCAACAACAAACTCGACAAAAATACGACAATCAGCCCAACAACAGCAGATAAATTAAACGTTATTTCAACAGCTATAACTGACCATCATGGTCATCATCTCATGGACATCAACGCCAGCAACAACTCTAGCATTCCTCCCTCCAGTGATCCAGTCAGATTAAAAGTGAGTGCACTGCTTGCGAAATACGGTCGACATGAAGCCAGCAGCAACAAAAGCAGCAGCAGCAGCAGCAGCAACCTCAAGGACGATAACAATGATGATGCTAAACTTTTTTTAAAGAATGGGGATAACAATGGTGCCTGCAACGTTTCGTATGCGAGCCACACATCATTCGAGGACGAACCTTTAAGCGTCTCCAGTGGCTCATTCAACGATTCACTCGTCAGTAGCTCGCTCAATAATGACGTTGTGTCGGCAGCTAGAAAGGACGCGACACACAGCAGTGGGAGCGTGATGGATGACTCGTTGGATGAAGATGATCCAATCAATCGCTTCCTCAAAAATGAACTGCTGTTGCGGCGACGACACGGCGACGCCACAGCATCATCATCATCATCGTGGCTACCCGACGATGATGATCAGGATGGTTTTGAATGGGAATCTGACGTTAAGGTTTCCGCCAGCAGCCACCACTACGACGACGACGATGTTGATGACGAAGAGGATGTTAACGCATTCTTCTCCACTAATGATTTCAAGTTATCGAACATCAACGTAAGCAGTAGCAGTGACAACAACGTCAACAACAGCATCAACAACAACATCAACAACAACATCAACAACAACATCAACAACAACAACATCAACAACAACAACATTTCTAGCCTGAGAGCAGTCATATCAAACTTATTGAGAGAAACACAACAATACAATCAAGAGATAAAAGAGGACAGACATCGTGCCGGTGGTGATGATGATGATGATGTCGGTGGTGGCGATGATGATAATGATGATGCCAACGTTGAAGGTGAAGGTTACGATTCGATAAATCCGCAACTTCTTTCCTTTTCTAATTACAACTGGAGCAGCGGGAATAGCACGATGTGGAGTAGGAAGTCGTTGAGTGTCATAAGTGAGCATACGGAACCTTCCTCCGTCGACACTTCACTCGAAGACTTAACATCCATCCAATCTCGCTCGAATAAGGATCGATTCAGACATGATGATGATGACAATGATGATGATGATGACGAGGATGGTGTTGGTGATGATGATGACGACGAAAATGGAGATAGTGATGATAAAAATGATGAAGACGATGAAAATGGTGATGGCGATGATTTAAATAGACTGATGACATGCAGTGATTTAAGAAGAGGTCCCCAGCAATATCCTCACCATCATCATCATCAACACCACCAGGAAATGAATTTGTATTGAAAATATTCTTCAGCCTATCTATAATTAATCCCACTGGGCTGGTAATGACGATGGGGTGGTGGTGATGATGATGATGACGTGAGCTTTACGATTGTGATGATGATGATGACAGTCATGGTAACTAGCGATTGTTTAGGAGGAGTTAAACATAATAGAAATATCAGTATTGATATGTTGGCATGGGGGTACCCTTAGTCTGTCTGTATGTGTGTGTGTGTGTTGTGTGTGTGTGTGTGTGTGTGTGTGTGTGTGTGTGTACGTGTTTGTATGCTACGTACGTACGTATGTGTGTATGCCTCAAGGATGTATGAATGTGTGTACATGTGTACATCTGAACAGTTGTTGTTACGTATTTTAGACTGTAGTTCTTTTGTGAACATTTTTACATTAATAAATATTAATAATATATATATATATATATATATATATATATATATATATATATATATATATATATATATTGGTATGTATGTATATAAGGTGTATATCTGGCTAGCGAATGATTGATTGATCGATTGAGATTGATTGATTGATCGATTGAGATTGATTGATTGAAAATAATAATACACACGTACTGCAGAATCTTCTTTCTTCATCTTTTTTATTATCAATTCTGTCGTTAGTGTTGTTGTTTTAAAAGATTTTACTAACAGTATGTTTAAGTGTATGTGTGCGTATGTGTGTGCGCGCATCATGTATGTGTACATAGTTTTGTATGTGTAATAATGCTGGCTATTAATTTCTTAAATTTCGTGTATCAATTTTTCAATTTTATTTTTAGCAGTTCTGTGTTTCGTTGTTCTTGCTCTTCAATCTTTCTTCTATTTGGTTATTACCGCTATTTTTTATTACTATTATTATTATTGTTGTTGTTGTAGTTGTCGTCTTCCGACTCACTTGAATATTTTTTAACATGCGGGTAGCCTTAAAGGCACACTCATGTTTGCTTGCATGGCTGTATAGTTTTTTGTATGTGTACGCAAGCATCTATGTAAATAACTTTTATACTTGTGTCCCTGATTATGTTTTTAAAGAGCTGACCAGACGCATATTTATCTCACGGAGGTTATTATTGAATCTAATTGGTAGGTAAGTAGGTAGGTTGGTCGGTCGGTCATAATTTATCAGTTTTTTTATCGCCACGGGCCGGCAACACTTTGCGGAGCATGAACTATTTTTGTGTATCTGTATTTCTGTATGTATGTAAGTGTGTGTGTGCGTGTCTGTGTTTGTGTGTGTGTGTGTGTGTCTGTGTGTGTCCAAAAGCTAAGCTAAGTCAATTTATTTTGTCATTTATTTTTCCAAGGATCTCTTTGATATATATGTATATATATATATATATATAGTATATATATATATATATATGTATATATATGTATATATATACAATATATAAATATAACGTTTATTAGTGAACATGTACCGTGTCTTATATTTACTCACATATGATTAATTGCGATTAATTCATTTAAAAATCGTCACTCATATTTACTGTCATCACATTACTCTGTGATGTCACAATCTTCATCATACGAGAACAAATGTTCATTACATATTGGTACCTACTTACTGATTAATAGTTTCATTTATTCACATACACATTCAAGTGCCTACTGCTACAATCACCCCTAAATACACACACACACACATATATATATATATATATATACATATATATATATATATATATATATATATATATATATATATATTTGCAATATATATATATATATATATATTTACATTCACTGAGAATAAATAGTTCTGTCTATTGATTTATGTTAATCTATACTGCTTAACATTTATTTTTGATGGAATTAATACTTTGCAGAAATATTAATTCATCTTACTTTTTCATCCACAGTGCCTTGCATAAATAAATAATTAATTAATTTCTTACTAATTAATCAATTAATTTTTATTTATTATAAATTAATTAATTAATTTTTCAAAGTATCGTCTATTTATTGATAAAGTATCATCTGTTTGATCCAAATATATCTTATAGGAATACATACCCACATGCTGGCAGGCACATTCTCTGACGTTAAAGTCACGATAATGATCATTTAGTTCTAATTAGTTTTAATTAATCTCATTATCTTGATGTCATTTGAGCATACAGACCACCACCATCGTCGTCGTCATCATCACCTGTTTTATGAAACTTTAAAAAATATGGCCAAGTGATGCAGCAGTTACATTCAATGTTTAATTATTTAAATCTCTGATGTATTGATCATTCCATTCATTCGCTCATTCACTCGTTAGTTATTTTATTCATTCATTCATTCATTCATTCATTCATTCATTCATTCGATTTCAAAAAGTTAAAAATAAAAATTATCAATCATTTGTAATCTTTGTTCTTATTGTTCATTATTTGGTCACTTTGAGAAAGAAACATTGATAGACATTCAGCTGCTTATTTGTAAAACTAATCAAGTTTGTTGTCTATTTTCTAAAAATATGCGACATGAATGAGGGAGTAAGTCTTTGATTGATTGATTGCAGGCCGAGAGGAAACTTCCAATGTAGATCCGGCTGGTGCTGGTTCACCGCAATCAATTGAACATGCAACAACAACTACACAAGCTGATCAACCCGTCTACCTCAAGTTAACAGGAAAAAGTTACGAACCAAAAACATCAAATAGTAATTCAAAGGTTGGATGCATTTGTTGATTTGTAGACGTCACCATCCTCACAACCACCATCCTCACAACCACCATCTTCACAATCATCATCAGAATTCTTTGGTGGAGAGGAGTGGCGATGGTGGTGGTGGTTTCTCGTACCACGGCATGATGATGGCGATGATGGAGAAGAGGAATGATAGTAACGACCATTCAGGGTTGTGGAGAGATAGTGAGCTGGAAGAGAGAGAGAGAAGTTGTCCCGATGGTGATGATAATGATGATGTTGTTGGCCGTGGTGGTGGTGATCATCCTAACTCAAGATTTATTGTTGATCCAGATGCAACAAGCGAACTGGTTAAGATTGTTGTTGTTGTTGTTTTGCTCCTGTTTTGTGTTGCTAGTTAGTTATGTCAAGTAATCATATGAGGTGAACACACGCACACACACACACACACACACATACAAACAAACACAAACGAGGTCTTAAATAAATGAATCGAAACAGGAATATGGCAGCTTGGGACCCCTGAAAAGAGATAAGAAACAGAAAAGTTTGACCAATCTTGTTGATTCACTGTCCGTAAGTTGAGCATTATGGTGATGATGAAGATGATATTGATGATGTATGTAATATGTGGAACGATTCGATACCGGCTTAAAATGTCTTGCCTATACCTACCAACACCGAAGTATCGGCGAACAGCAAATGCAACTGCATGAACATACGTCTGCAGATATTTACGAAGTGCACATAAGTTTTCGTACACACACGCATACAGAACAGTCTAGAAAGTTTAATGAGTGTGTACAGTGGTGCGGGTGAGGTCCATTACGGAAAGATCATCGTTCGGGGGGAAGTCCAAATTTCATGTCTCTATAATGAAACCTCTACCAAGTTTGCTTCTATTTCCAATTTACTGATAAGAATACTAATAGTAGTAATAGATAATAATGTAGTTATATGGTAAGGAGAGATAAAGATACTCTTGCCCAACCCCGCAGGCTGGATGTGACGGTGCACCAATGCAAGGACCTCGCAGTTGTTAATTTCAAGAAGAAGACTTCTAACCCGTTCGTTCTTTCTTTCTTTCATTTTTATCATCATCTCAATCATCATTCTCAAAAGTCTGTCATAATCTACACTGCCATCATCATTGTCATTCTAATAATCACTGCAGACAGTTAATATTGCCATTGCCCGAACCTTAACCCACCTAACCAACGTCAGCTTCATCTTTTAGGCATTGTCACTTCCTCACAAGTACAAACACACACACGCAGACAAACTCAAACACGCAAACAACCGCTCAACAGATACATCAAATGCTACTTACTGCCTGACAAAAGTCGGTTAAGTAAGCGCAAGTCTAACATTAAGAAGGGCACCTTGAATCCAATCTTCGATACAATATTTCACGTAGGCGTTCACTTACATTTTTCAATTTTTTACTTTCCATTTTTCATTGGTCAAAGATCGTTATCAACAACGGCATTGCTTTCAATTAAATACACACACACACACACACACACACACACACACACACACACACACACACACACAGTACAAGGTACCAGCTGGAACCATAGAGCAAAGAAGTTTGGAGTTGAGTGTGTGGCATGCAGACAAACAAGGAAGGAATGACTTTCTAGGCGAGTGTGTTGTACAGTTGAACAGCCAGCAACTTGTCAACATCGGGCAGCCTGTCTGGTTCAAACTTAAAAACAGGGTTTGTACTTTTTTTCTCTGGTTGAATGTTTTCGTTTGTTAATATTGTTGTTTGTGTTGTCTGTGTTTATTTTTATGGTTCTCTTGTTTTGGCGAGTGCTTAGATTGTAATGGTTTTCTTCTACAGAAAGGCCTGCCGTCCAGTCCTCTCACATACTACGGAGATGTTGACGTCAGTTTAAAGTTTTTGTCCCGTGAGTCGCTCGAGAGTCACGTGATTAGATCTAGTGGACGCGGGGAGTTGCAGGTCCTCGTCAAGCAGGCCAGGAACCTGAGCACTGACAAATCGAGCAATTTAAATGGCTCGTTCTGCAAGGCGTATGTTGCTTTCGTTACTGCTCTTCTTTCAACTTAATCTCAGTAACAAATCATGAAAGCCGATAAAATTGATCCACAGAACACTGATGCATCGCGACAAGAAGAAGATTTTGAAAGAAAAATCAGATTTAGTGAGACCGATCCGCAACACTTGCGTGTGGAACCAGACGTTCCTCTTCAAGGATGTCTCGAGGATGGAACTCATGCAGGCCTGCCTAGAACTCACGTTTTGGGATAAGGATAAGAACTCAAATGATTTTCTTGGAGGTGTCAGACTCAATACCGGACCGGGTAAGTTAGTTAGTTAAGTTAGTTAGTTAAATCAGTAAGTTATTTAGTTAGTGGATGGTTGGATAGGTGAATGATTGAATAAAGAAAGGAAAGAAAAAATAAATGAATGATTGAGTGAATTTTGTTTCTAATGAGAGCAGTCGGGCGGGAGCCTCCATTGAATTGGATGGATGGACGGGGGGAGGAGATGTTGATGTGGCAGTCCATGATTGACAGGCCGGATTCCTGGATTGATGGAACGCTCATGCTCAGGTCCACTATGACATCAAGGAAATGAATGAAGGAATGAAAGAATGGGGGAGGGCAGAATGAAATATTATAATTTTACTTCATTATATTTCTCAGTGTCGTCAACTATAGTCGACATTCTCGCTTCGTCGTCTTCAAAAATGGCTTTGATTTTCTTAAACCGTTTAATTTATTTTTACATTTTTGAAACTCGTTCAATGCAATTTATTTTTGATATTATTTTACGAATTCTCATTTTTCAAAAATCTTACCTTATTTAATACTTCATAATAATGGATGTGTGTGTTGATGCATGTGTTTTAATGCATGTGCGTGAGAGTGCACCCATCGGTGCTGTGAAGTGTTCATTATTTTACATTATTCACATCTGCATATGTTGATATTCCGTGACTTACTCGCCCTAGGTAAGTGTGCCTTGCTTCTTAAATTAATTTCGTATCAAATTTATAATAGCCCACTTACTAGAATATTAACTTCCATCATTAAACATTCTGTTTGTTCGATTCATCGCGCGTCTGATCTGCATCATCAACTACCTTATTTAATCAACTTGCAATCATTTTCGTTTTTCTGTTGATCGTTTGTTTTTGACGGCATCTAAGAAGTTGTTATTGTTTCTGAAAAAATTTCATTGTTATTATCATCGTTCATTTTTTTTCTGAGCAAGAAAGATGAGGTGTGTTTGCTTGAAGATGGATATTTGGAGAGGTCCGAAGTTCTCCATTCCTCTGCTAAGAAGCATAAAGCATACATGCACGATATTCCCTTCGTTACATTGCAGGAAACTTCCACATGCATGCCACAATATTTCTTCGTTGTTCCGTACATCCGCCAAGTTGAAATCTCACAACTAACATTATATAATTTATTGTTTTGAGTTTGTTCATACGTATCCATCTGTCTAGCACTTGCTGATTCATTTCAATCAACTAATCCTCACTATTTATTTGGACGTTTATTTGAAATCTAACAATTCAATTGTACCATGGAACGTTCAACCGATATTTTTGTGTTAGTTCGTGTGCGTGTGTCTGTTTTTGTTTATGTAGCGTGTATGTTTACTGGTTTGATTGTACTCTTGCAAGAGCGAATCCTCGTGAATTATTAATTAGCGTAGCTGACTTGAAAAAGAGCTATGAGAACAATGCACGCACGCATGCATGCACGTGAAGGATGTGGTGCTTTCATCATTAATACATCAGCTCACTATTTCTCTTCAAATTATTTACCGTGAGGTTTCTGTTGCATACATATATTTTTATACAATGAATAAATGAATGAAATATATATATATATATATATATATATATATATATATATATATATAATACCGTTAACAAATATCACTGCATTTTCAGCATTGATCAGTTTCTGGTTCAATTTTTCAATATTAAAAAATTGAACCAGAAATTTATATAATTCCATAAGTCGTGTTGAATAAAGGTTTATTGACCATAACATGAACAAGTACTTAACATTATCATTAAATGATCAGGTCTATTAAACATGCAACGAATCAATCAGCCATCCACTCGCCCGATCGATTGAACAATCAATAATTTAATCCATCAATCAAGAAATCGACATCTAAGAAATGATTTTAAAACAATATTATTATTATTGATGCATATATACATACGCTAGTTAGTCATTAGCATCAATGAATATTTAAAATGTGATTCCAGCTTAAATGTCTTGTTACCCATTTACCTGTATTTATTAACGTTCGTATGTTTAGTTAAAAATAATCACCCACCACTGATTGTTATTTATAACCACTTGGATTTCATTACCCTCATTTATGTTTTATTATCAACGCTGACGTAAGTATAGATACACACAGACTTACACACACACGCAAACACACACACACACACAAACATGTGACTGAGGAAATCAAATAGTGACCATCATGCATTTAAAATGAATTTAATGCATACTTCATCATCGTCACTATTATTATTACCATCATAAACTTTCTTCCAACAATGAAAATGTTAATAAATTATAAAATGATTAGTCATCGTTTTGTAATGAACATACATCTAAAAAGTTCCTCAACATTGTCATATGGATACATAATAGCAATCATGTTCTCGTTGTTTCTAATTAACATAATTTATTTGCTCATTAACATAGTTCATGTTGCTTAATCAATTCATAATAATTCACTTTGCATTATAATCCATTTGAAGATCAGAATTAAAAAATAAGATAAAAAGAAATTGTAGTCTGGTTGGTTTAACACGACGAGGTCATGTGCATGGTGCACAATAATCATGTACAATCACCACACACACGGGCAAGCAGGATTAGTTAGATGTTGTGGCAAGTAACATTCTCATTGTATCTCCTGAAGTACAGAAAAGCTCTTCATGTGGGAATTATAATATTTGTTATAATAATTCATCTAAACATAATTCAACATGTTGGATGGTTGATTGATTCGTTGCATGTTTAAACATAGGAGGAAAATTTTGATAAAAAATGAGCTAGGATTGAGAAAAAAAAATAATTAAATGAAAAAGTGGACTTACATTGAAACGCCGATGAGAAATGAGCAAGCATGGGTGATGAGGATGAATGTGATGCTGTTTCTTCCTTCGTTCTCGTACTTTGTGACACTTTCAATGACTGGCGACGGACATCCATCTACGTTACTCTGCATGATTTTGTAGCCAGCATCAACATCGACCTCACTCTGGTAGCCACTCAATGATGCTGCTGCAGATTGCTTGAAGCTGTTGCTGATGTTGGTGGATCTGTCAACCAACTTGTAATGTTTCATCTTGCTCTGCCATGTTGACACCTGCACAATTGATGAGGGATGGATGATGAATATTACAATCACATGCAAGAATGAAGAGCATGTGATGGAAACTGATGTGCAGTGCTGAGAATGTAAGTAATCATGTGACTGAATGGTTTTATGAAAGATTGATTAAATGATGAGGCAGATTAGTATAATTAATAAATGCATGAATAATTGATGAAATGAATGAAAAAATGATTGATTGATGGTACAAACAGAGATTGGGGATGAGGCTTCGGGACGACTCGACCAGTTCCAATTCCATTCCAAGTTTGCCAGCTCCTTCACAATCAATCAATAACATTCAATTTAACTTATATATCTTGTTATTTAATTAATTGATTTAATAATAATTGAATTAATGGGTTAATATTAACTTGAAGTAATAAAATAATGAAATTAAAATAATTGAACATGGTCAGGAACCTGTTCAGCACTGATGACAACATCCGACAAATTGTCAGGCATGATGGGAGCTTCTAAGATTGAGTGTGCTGCCTGAACTGGCATCTCATTCGCATCCACATGTGAACTATGTGTGTTCATAATTTTTGGGAATTGTATGCAGTTCAGTACACAAAAAAAAATTATAATATAATACAAATCAAATTTATAAATAACCCAAATCAAATTAATTATATAAATAAATAGCAGAAAAACAAGAAATCAACCTTATAGAGTTTGGAGGAGTGGACCCCCCCTCTCTAAGAGCGTCCAACAGACATTCTTGCATGGAACTGTTTAAAATGGAATTGCATGGAGATACAGATACAACATGTGAATTTTTCGTTGGAGTTGACAGGAACGATTGATCATCTATCTTCACCCACGAATCTGTTTTGAAGAATCAAACAAAATTTAATTGAATGGCTTCAATTTTCATGTCGTAAGAATTTTTAATTTAAATTTGAGATGCAAAAGCGCAAAAAGACGGAAACGACGACAAAAGACAAAACAATGAAATAAACTCTAAAAGTAGTAAATAGACTAAAAAAATAAACAAAGAAACTGCTTGAACTAGCAGCCATCATCGTCAAGTACCGTCGTCGTTGTCCGTAACTTTTTCGTCAAATGACATAGCAAATTCGTTTAATTTCGATTGAAAATTCGGTGAAATAAAAAATTTGAAATGAAAAATTGCAAGTTAGGTGGAAGTTTTATCTTAAATCTCAACCAAGAAATGAAATTCTATCAACAGCTGATAGTGTTTTGAAGTCACGTGACTTGGTGCAGCTAAACGACGCATATGACCAGAGATGGGCAATTTCTTGAAAAAAAGCTATCATGTTATAGTATACTTATAATACCAAAAATTATTAGTGGTATTAATTGAATTGAAACATCTTGTCTCCCACCTAAAACTCATCCAAGATCAACTAGTAAAAACTCAACTTAGACGTCTGAAACATCATTTTATTGAGAAGTCTTATAAATTGAAAAGCACAATTTTGGTCAATTGATATAATCAGTGAGTTGATTAGTACCACATTTGTAGGTAGATGGCCATAAAATTGGTCAATTGTTGGATTTACCATCGTCCTCGTCCTTACTGAAGTCATCATCATCATCATCTCCATCCACCGCTCCGTAGCCAAGCTCGCTAAAATCAAATATGTCATCCTCTAGCTGGTTTCGTAATAAAAACATTTAATTTTTGATTAATTCATTTAATTGTTATCAATTAAATAATTATTGAATGACCTTATGGGCCCTGAACAGTTTCAACAACTGTGTCTTGACGGTGGCCACAGAGAATATAATCGTATATACGTTCGTCAGAACCTTTTCAATAATTTGTGGCAGTTGTGCATTTTTGTTAATAATATTTGTCATCATCCTAATGATCATCATATTCATCGTCTCCAGCCAGCAACATCACCAGCAAGCAGAGACATCTTCTAACCACTTCCCACAAAAGTTCTCCAACTCCGAATGAAACGCACCACAGCCACTCATCAACCGTCAACTTGACAACGTGAAAAATCTCTACTTCAAATTCAATCAATAATACCTGTGTTGTTGTTGCTGCATTTATTAATGTTGTTGTCACACACACACGCACCCACAGGCACACAACACACCGTACCTACCTGTGCAATGAATGAGGTCAGCCAAATTAAGTTGAAAATCCAATTTCTCGGAAGGTCTGCATAGAAATAACAGCAGCAATCGCAACAAAATAATAATAATACTGAAACTAATAACAATAGACACGCCTCTAAACATGTTACAATCGTCCGATATTTTTCTGCAATTGATCTGGTTGAAGAGGGTCATCATGATTAATGAATTGTATATGATCGTGTTCTGACGGGAATCCACTTCCCTTGGATAGGACATGGCATTGTCTATCTCCAACGCTGTGTGACCTACAATGTTGTTTGCTTGTTCGTTCGTTTGATCGATTGTTCATTTATTAATTTATTAAAAAATAAACTCCCGTTTGTAGTTGAATCGTTCAATTAATATTATACGTACACGTCCGAGGATTTCCAATACAGCATCATCCATCTTCATCATCCCGACAACCAGGCAGGCAACTAACCGGCATATAATAAAGAGAAAAGAACGATAAGCTGGTAGGCGGCGTGCCCGCCAATGTTTCGCATGGCTTCCTTCGTTACGATGAAGTCGCTGTAGGCCGATGGTGGTTTCTTGCAGAGGTGCTTCGTTGGATACTGGGTGCCTGTTTGCCAGTAGAATGTCGATGCTTATGATGCATGAAGAGGATGTGTGTTGCTGGTGACGAGGAAGATGAAGAAAAAGAAGATGTTTATAATGTTACCGAAAGCAAAAGATGCAAATGGATCGATGATAAGGTTGATGAACATCATCTGCATCGGCTTCAATGGAACGTACTGTGTTGCGATTGCAATCATGTGATGGCGGTGATGGCAATATAAATGAGTAACATTTATCACTACCATCATCATTATTATCATCAATTATCATTATTAAACCTTGATGAGACATGCACAGATAAAGCAGAATGACATCACAACCAGATTAACAGTCAGTTGAAATTGCAGGAAATTAGATACACCCTTGTAAACGTTTCTGGGGATATATTAAAAGAAATTTATGATCGTTATAGTTTAAGGATATTTATTATTTTGTTCTTTCTCACTGACCTCCACCACATGACCGAGCGGACGACAGTTGAGAAGCTGTCGTCCAACACTGTCAAGTCACTCGCTCTTATCGCCACATCTGTTCCCGTTAAGCCCTTGTTATGGAAATGATGGTGACGGCGACGATTTCGTTAAGCATATAGAATTGTAGATGATGAAGAATTCGTAATGAAGCTTATTTCAATTTCAATCGGGCACCATTTATCAATTAAAGAGTTACCATGGCAACTCCGATGTCTGCCTCGACCAGTGATGTTCCGTCATTTGTTCCCGACCCGGTAACAAGCACAACTTGCTTTTCTTTCGCGTTCATATCACTTTTCATTATGCCGGAAACTAAATTGAATTTGTCTTGGGGGGTGCAGTTCGAGAGGACCACCAATTGTGGCCAGATCGAATCAAATAAGACTGGAATAATCTGGAAAGGACAAACATTCAAACAGATGAACAAACTAACACGTGAACGAACAAACACACAATGAAAACACAAACGACAAATAGACAAAATAGCATACACTATTATCTCTAGCTCTCCTGATGAGTTTATTGAATTGTGTACTTGTGAGAGCCATCGTCTGTTCCTTGCTCTTCAAAATTCCACACTTGTAGGCCATCGATTGAGCTGATTTCATTTTATCAGTCGTTGTAATTCGGACTTTGATCCCCGCTCGTTGACACAAACTCACATACTCAGCGGACTGCGTGGTGCCGAGTTTGGTATCGTGTTAGGTTTCGTTCAATGGAGTGTCTTGTTTTTCGCGTTTGTCAATTATTTCTTCTTCGCTACAACAACTATCACTACAATAATATTAAACTCGGAACCAAAACTAACACACCTCAAAATCAGAACCATCATCAACATCAGCGTCAGCATCAGTACAAACATCTGGCCTCAAAGGATCTTCGATTCCAAAGACAGCCAGTAGGATGAGGTTCGATTCAATGGTCTCCTCATCGTTGAAGTCGTGATCGTCGAACATGTCACGCACCTCCTCGTCCTCTGCATCTCGCGGCTCTCCAACTACATACAATAAAATTATCATTTGTATAAAAATAATAATTATTTTGTATAATATAATTATTTTATTATTGTTATTATAATTTATTGACTTGTGTGTTAGTGAGCTCATTTGCCGTCTAAACGAATTTTATATATGGAAGTAAAGATGTTATATTAAAAATCGAGCTGAACATTTTTAACCGAACAAGTTTTATTTATTGAACTGTTTGTGTTAAGGCGAACGCGATGCAAATCTATTCCCTTCTGTTCAGTTGTTATTATAAAAGATAATAAAAATAATAATAACAACAGCAATTTTATTAGCAAGGCAAACAAAAAGTTACTGAGCGAGATATCCCTAAAAGCCAGCATAAGTGTCTTGAGGGCGTAATTATGCATTCCGTGTATGATCTTTTCGATGTGATTTCTCTCTTCCTCGTCCAACTCAACAACTGCATCAACGCTGTTTATCTTGTAACGACATCTGTTGCCATGTTGTCAGTAGGCTTGGTGAATGAGTTTACGTTGGTTGGTTGGGTGGAATGTTAATACTGAACGATATCTGAATGCAGAAACACTCCTCATCGTCAATAGCCTCATTATCACTCATTGGTCACTACCATCGTTTCCATCATTTTATTTTTTTTCACCGTCACAAAACCGAAAAATTACTTGGGTAGCAGTTTGATGGCAGCACCTTTCGTCAACACGAGAAATCTTTCAGTGTATGGCGAATAAATCGTTGTCATCGTATTCTTGCCGGGCTTGAATGGAAAGACTTTGATGATGTTTTCAACGGGTACTCTCGTTCTTATCACCTGGTAGTTTATCTTTAACGTGCCCAAAAAACTTAACAGAGCGCATTCGATTTTGTTGCCAATCTGAATCGGTGGCTCTGATTCGTGCCGCTTCGACGTCTGATTTGAATTCATTCATTTGTTTATTCATTTATACACTCGTCCATCAATCCACTAATTCACTAACTGACCATCAACTCAGAGGCATAGTTGCAATTGATGGAGATGGAATCCTCCAAAAGTTCCATCTGCCTCTTCGTGAAGTGGGCGTCAGTAACTTTTGTCGTGAAGTGTACGTCTGAAATGTGTTGAATGCGTATTTGTGTGAGTGCGTCATCATCATCATCATCATCGTCATCTTGCCTCCGATGAAGCACTCGACGACAGTCATACGATCCGTAGATAGGATGCCTGTCTTCTCAGTGATGATGGTTGTCACGTTGGCCAGATTCTCGCAGGCCGTCATGTTCCGTAGTAAGATCTGGTCTTTCATCATCCGCTGGTTGGTCGGTCGGTCGGTCGGTCGGTCGGTCGGTTGGTTGTTTGGTTAGTTAGATGATTAGTTGTTTGGCTGATTTAATTGTTAATTAGTTGAATGATTGTTTAGTTAATCTTAATTTCTTTCTTGAAAGTATTACAAATTCAGTTTATTTTTAGTTTCATTAAAATATTTTAAGCAGAATATTTAAAACAAAAAACCTAACACTACTACACGCACACCTCAACGGTAAAAGCACTGGACAGTATGGAGATCATGGCAGCACCTTCTGGGATGGAGACGACGATCATGGTAAGGCCGAAGAGGAGGAAGCCGATGTAGACCTCGTTCATTTCGCGGGACCACTTCAACTGATCCTTCAAGTAGCTGTACGTGAACTTTATCGAGCATATCAACGTGGTGGCCAGCACGAGGCCCAAGCCTGCTCACGTGATCGTGATGGAGTGTGGGCGATAGAGGTGAGCGGGAATTGAAATTTATTCCCAATTCCCTCCCATTTTTTTCTCATTCCCGATTCTCTCTCGAAATCCTATTTATAACAACGTTCCCGAAAATTTCCATTCCCTATTTTTTTAACTTATTTCCGCGAAGATTTAGCAAAAAAGTGTTTAACACAAGTTAACAAGAAGGGAGAACAAGAAGACGATCAAAAACCGGGGCGTTTAGGTTTAATTAATATATCTGATAAGTACTTAGGAAAGAATTTAGATTGAGACTTAAACATTAAGTGCAAATTTTAAAAATCATTTTATATTTTAAAGGTGGTAGCCAGTGCAAGAAAACAAGACATGAAAATTTATATGAAAAGAAAGGGGCACGAGCAACTAGACGAGCAGCTGAATTAAAAGCAACTCGACAAACAAAACTCCGAAGACAAATCGATGTGGAAAACCAAATGAGATTATTAACCTAATACGATACACGTAGCTAGGCAGGAAATTTCTTTATAGTTTTGTTGATTTCAGGTGATTTCACACGGTTATCTTTTTTGTTAACGTATATATATATATATATATATATATATATATATATATATATAGGCTTTTATTTTAGCACGTAATTCGCACGTAGATGTCATTTTTCCATTTTTTCCCATTCCCGCCCGTCACTCCCGAGCAGCGACTATCTATTCCCTAAAATTTCCATTCCCGATAATTTTTACCAATTTGAAGAGGGAGAACAAGAAGATGATGATGGTGATGATGAGAAAAAGAATGAGTAATAATCTAACCAATAAAACAAATGGCCGTGTTGAATTTGATGAGTTGGTTGCGTATTATCGTCTGCTCTGCGTCGATAGCTGAACGTGTTTGTTTGTGTGCGGCGTGAATACCATTACAAATATTTATTGTCATTCTATAAAAATATGTTAAAATAATAAAAAAAGACGAAAGAGTTTGAGTTGGCATACAAAATCTAACGAAATCCTGGCTGTTGTCCCTCTTGTACTCTGCGATCTTCGTATGCTGGCCAACCACTGTGACCACCATCTTGCCTTTGCCATTCAATATGCCCGTTCCTGTTTGTTGTTCATCAAGTTAGTGCCATGCAAATACTTCTAAATAGTTCATCATAATGATAATGATCATGATGAGGATGATGACGGTAACATGATAGTGATGATGATGGGGTTTGAAGGCTTTTGAACCGGAAAGCATGATGTTGTCGTCAGTTTCGTCTTTTATCTTTAAGTTGGATTCATCAGGCACGAAACTTTCATCAACGAGCATGTTGACTGATTCAATGAGCACACCATCTGCTGGCACTGTTTCGCCTGTGTGCATTTTAACATTGATTGATTGCTTGATAGATTGATTGAGATTGATTGAGATTGATTGATTGATTGATATGTTTATTTTTAATCCATTGAATTCATCCATCCATCAGGGCATCCACTCAGCAGTCGCACAACGAACCGTGAACGATGTTGACGATATCACCGACGACGAGTTCGGAGGCAGGTACGTCGACAAGGATTCCATTGGCGAGGACGGGGACGAAGGGGTCGTTCTGGAGGTTCGCGCGGATGTCGCTGAATATCACGTCCTTCAACCACTTGCAGAATGTCGTGAAGAGCACAAGCACGAAGATGGAACATAACGCTCCCACACACTCAAAGAACACTGCAAGTTAGACGGAGAAAAGGAAAGTTAAAAATAAAGAAGAAACGAAAGGTTGATACGTACAAGTAGACCAACAGAAACCTGATTTATTTCAACAGCATTTCAATAGCACTAAACAACTAACATTTATTTTCTTCGCTGAAGCACCAGCCGAGCATGCTCAAGATGGAGCTGATGACGCAGATGATAATGAAGACTGAATTCTGCAGCGATTTGTAAAAATGATAGATCAGCGATCTTGACGTTCTGGTTTTTATGTAATTCTCGCCAAAGTACATCAGCCTGCGCTCCAAGTCTTCATAATCTCGCACCAAACCTTTCGTTGTTTATTTCAAATTAAAAAAATTCTTCTTTCTTTACAATTTTTTCCTCACATCCTTATCATAGATTTGGACAACAAGGTCTGCACTTGCACGCACATCCACACCACACGACGCACAGAAAGAAGTCTGAGCTAAAATTAGGTAGAATGTATTGGTCCAAACAACTCAAAACATAACATGACACTTCTTCTGTCTTCGCATCATTCACTCTTTTTTTGATAAATTTGCTCTATTACTTACTAAGTATAACTTCTTACCTCTGTCAGGATCAGTGTGAAGGATATCAAGCAGGTTTTCTATTGAGCCATATCTCTTCTTAACAGAATATTTGTTCTCCGATAACTTCTTCAAGTCATGAATTGTAACGTTGAAATCTGTCTGTATGTTCATTTGATTTGATGGCACTCCCTTAACCTCTTAACTTAACAATGCATTTTGTTTTCTATTTATATTCTGCTTTTCAAACATTTATAAACAATGATGACAAAGCATGACTCAATTTAAATTATATCAATCTTTATATTATCCCCATTTGTGATATCTATATTTCAATTATAGATCAAAGTATAAATCACCGTGAAACCGTTTTGTCCAATGTTTAACTCATGAGTTTGAGACCAAAGCAAACGCTTTTTTCATTCTTGAATACTAATTAAATACTAAACGAATGTTATTGTAAATAGTACTGCGCTATTATTAAGAGAAAAAAAACGTTACACTCACTTGGCTATTAGATAGCACTTGCTTAAGAGGAAAGCTTCGTTCCGTTGGCAAGGTAAGTTTATTTCAAAAATTTTCGCAATGGATAAGTTTGAATATTTAAATTTTTGGGGACACTCGCCTGCTCTTAATTTGATTTCTAACTCCAAAATCAAAAGTTAACTTAAACATTTATACTTTTTTAAAATTAAAATTTTTTATTAATTTTTTGTTTCTATTTTTTATTAATAAACAAAAAACATACTTTTTAAAATTGAAACAAAACAAAGTAAGCAGAATAATAAATACAGAAAAGATTAATTCATTAAAATTGAATAATTTACTGCATAATTGTTGATCACAAGAAGATGGAGATGATTCAGTGAACATCTTGGTGGTTGGGGGTGGTGATTGCAGACATGTTCTGCTAACTATTTCTAAAAATATGCACAAAAACATAAACGTAAGTTAAGTTGGTCTTGTTTCATTATTTAAACATTCAATTTTATATGTTGAATTTCTTTAAAACTAAGTTTTTTATAGTGGATAAATCAGTAGAATTGTATGCAAGGCAGATGCTTCTATTAGCTCTCATTTTGAAGCCACAAAGTAAAATTGGACTTCAAGGTTTTTTTAATTTTATTTACTTACTTTTGGGTGTTTTCTATGGAAAATTAATTATTTCAATTTATTCTTCCTAAAAGATAAAATAGAAATGTTCTTAGAAATACATGGTAACACTCTGATAAGAAAACAAACAGCTGACTATGTTGAACAACTATCTAGCCAACTAATCAAGTTGGTGTGGTCTATGTTAAAATAAATTATTATTGAAAATTAAAATGTTGTCAAATGTTAATCCTATTTCAACATGTTCATCATATATAAATTAGTATGATCACAAACAATGACCTTTTGAAAGAAGAACTACCATGCTTCAACATATCTCATTTAAAAGTACTTTTTTCATTATTTAAAAATTTGTTCTTGTTTGCTAAAATTATTAATTTTTTTTTGTCTTGTTTTTCAAAGTTATTCAATTTTTTTAAATTCTCTTCTCTTGCAATCTAGTATAAAGAGTTGGATATGTTGGAAAATTTGTTAAAGTATTGGAGCAAGCCTTTGAAAGGTGATAAGTTCAACATCATTAAATGCTGGTAGGTACACACGTATACACATACATGCAAACACACGCACACACACACACATACATACATACATACATATACACACAGTTACACATTAAAAAACACTAATAGTTTACACGAGATACAATAAACATAACTTCATAATTCAAGTTGATATTGTTGTTAGTTATATTTCCTAATTCAATAATTTCAGGGATTTCAGACTTCGGCAGTACCTCGGCCCCAGGTACGATGCAATTCCGAACGTGTTTGATTGGCACTTCCACATGAAACTTATAGATAGGGATGTAAGTGTAATGTAGGGTTGTAAAATTCGCTTTAAAATATTACAATGGCAGCACGCCAGCCGTAATCATTGCTATCTTGATAGATTGAATGATTGATCGTTTGAATGATTGACGGATAGATTGATAGATAGATTGATGGGTCGATTGATTGATTGATGGATTGAATGATTGATTGATGGACGCAGGCGGAAGTGATAGGGATAAGGAACTACACGAGATGGAGAACGAATGGAGTGGCGTACGAGTTGAGAGATGCAGATTATGACGTGCAGAACAAAACACTGGCATCATCTATAGCTCTTAAAAAGGCACACACATTTTTTATTTCAATTTCTTCTTGAAATTTAGTTTTTAGGAATCGAAATAATTTCGAAAAATAAAGTTTAAAAAACGAACTAACAGTTGAATATATGAGCGAACGAACGAACGAATGATTAAATGAATGAATGAATAAATGAACGAACAAATGAATGAATGGATGAGTGAACGAACAACAAGTCAGGTGATATGGTATCAATGAGAGGATATTGGGGAGATATCATATTGAGTCCCTACGTATCCTTCGCCATCCAATCCGATAATAAAGAATTCTTTCTACGGCGTAATAATAAGCTCGTTAAGGTAGGAACCGTTATTATTGTTATTATTTATTATTATATTATTTGTATTTTGTTAATCTTCTTGTTATTGTTATTATTATTATATTTTGTCATTTGTAGACGAGCCAAGAGGTGGCACAGTACAACACTGAAGAGATTATAAATATGATCTTCAAAAAGTCCTCCAATGTTAACAACTGCTGTGAAGGCGGGGAAGATGATGGAGGGAAGAAAGATGGAGATGATGGAAGGAATGAGGATGATGACGCTGCCCATGAAAGTAAACACTACAATGGCAACGACGACGATGGTGATGACGCTTATGTTGTTGATGATGTTGATGACGACGATGGTGTTGATGATTCTGTGATAATTTTGAAAAAATTATAATAATAATAATTGAAATTTAACAAATCTAATTCATCCATTTGTTAGTTCACTCATTCTTCCATTCAACATAACAGGTTTTCACAAGCTTGATAACGTCAGAATAAATTTTCTTCCGACAAGCATCATGGAGAAGATTCATGATAAATCGAAATTTCAAGAACTGTTCCACGTCGTTTATGTCGGCACAAGGTAGTAACAAGGGTTTAATCCATTTTCCATTCATTCATTCATTCATTCATTCATTCATTTATTCATTCATGCACTCGTTTGTTTTTTAACTGTATTCCAATAAAGTCATTGGGATTGTATAAATGAGAATTTGGCGTCAATTATGAAGTCGCCGTGCAACATCTACGTTGAAACCTGCAAGTTCGTTCCTTCTTTCTTTCTTTCTTAGTCAGTCAGTCAGTCAGTCTGTATTCTTTATATTTATTCATTCGTGGCCAGATTCCTGCTAGATTTGAAAGTTGATCAGATGAAATCGCTGAACGATAACGTAAATAATCTTTTGGCGAAAGTTCACTGTAAGGTCGTTTGTAAATTTTTATCCGTTCATCTATCGCTCTCCCCTTTTTTAACGTTATCACGCAGTTGAGTATTTAGTTATTCATCACCATTCAGGGCAAAGATATGGACGCCAACGATGCACATGCACACTACACATACGCCATACAAACCTCACCAACCAACCTTTCCAACCCATCCAATTAAGACGTTGTTTGCGATAGAGCGTTGTTTGTGGCTGAAAATTATGAAAACTTATCAGAAAAGGACGACGATCGTTAAATTGACAGCTCCCTTAATGAAAATTATAAATTTATTTTGTATTATTTGAAAGAAAAGATTGAGCTGTTTCTTTTTAATGGTGTGTTCGTCCATAACTGGAGCTCAAACATTTTGTAGTTTTAATTTAAAACGTATTTATTCAAACGTTCAACGCCCTTTCACGCATACGGAACGTGAGAGAAGTCAAAACTAGAAAACGTTCGGATGGAAGTCTGTTTATCATTTATAGTCAATCAATTAATGACTGATTCAAATTAAAAAAAAGCATTCAACACAAATTTTCTTCAAAGTTCGTACGTAAAAAAGCTTCTAAACATTGATCGTCAATATTAAACATTAGCTGCTTTGTTGAATACATTCTCATTTCGTTAATGTTAACCAAAAAATGATATTAAGAGAAATTACTTGAATCTGAATTCAACAAATTAGTTTTAGTGGATATTTAATTAAAAAATAATGTCTAAATCTATATTTTTCAATAACATTTTAAAATAAATAAACGGATGACAAAGCACTCACAACTGTTTAAAATGTCAGACATTTCAGACAATAAAAACTGATATGAAGTTGTCTGATCGAGTCCTTTCTTCAGTCAGACGTAGAGCTCCTTTTAATATATTTCGATATTTTATTAGATTTAAATGATCATAACATTCGAACAAACATCTGCTCGGTCATTCTCACCCGCAACTTGAACAACAGAAATCTTGGAACTTCGGCTCAATCCTACAGTGATGACGGCCAAAGAAAGAAATGTAACTTTCGCAATTGTACTTGTTCTCTTCGTTGTCGATGCTTCTGACGATGACTGTGTCGTGGTCGCCGTACATGCACTCTGCCGTCGTGTGTTCATTTTATCAAATATCAATTCAAGCTATGTTTCAATAAAACTTTTAATACATTCTCACGTGTACACAGACGGGTTAAAGTTTCAAACGAAATGATTTCAATAATGATTTAGCATGTTATTAATTATAAATATATTTAACTTTTAAACTTAATTCTGTTTCGTTTTTTATTTATATTGGTTAAATTTCGTTGCAACATTTGATTTTAAATGTTGTATTTTGTCTTTTACTTTTTTCAGTTTTATCTCTATTTTGATTCCTGACATTTCCCCTAATGCGATTTTATTCGTTTCATTTTATCTTTCAGTTTTCGCGTTTGACCTAAGTATAAATATAAGTAGAAGAGATATTTAGGAAAATGTTGAATATCATCTTCGCTGTTCATTCATTACACTGACACTACTACACCCAATATCAAATTCGCTCAAATGTTCAGAACTTTCATTCAATGGATTGCATTAACGAAGAACGCTCTTGCTTATGATGAAAGAAAGAACGCTGAAATCAGCGTTAGTTGCAAGCTATGTGTGATGATGCTAATATAAAATATCATTATAAATCTCTCAGATCCTTGTGAGAAAGCGGTAAATAGCGGCGATGAGCCTGACGTTACTAACAGATATTCGCACTCACTTGGATCGCTGGTTTCGTGTTCCCTACAGGTTTCACAGCACAAATTCCTGTTGTGTTCGATGTAGCAATGATGAGGTCTCAAGCGGTTCTCACACTCATGTTTGTCCGAATCGACACACTCTGTAGAGAGGAAGAAACAAATAAGCATTCAATTGTTTGTTCATCGGTTGTAGAGAGGAATGTATTACAAAATTGCAATCTTAATTTATCAAACATTTACATTTGTTATATAAGCTGCACTTGTTGATGTGCTGACTTGTGCTTCGTTCCTTGTGCATATTTGTAAAAATTTAAGATTTAATAAATTAATTCAGTAACGATAAATAAAATGAGAAGGAAAACCATACGGACGGGCTGAATATGACGGTATCGTGATGAGATGTAACGCCAGGACGGCAAACATGATCTGCAACTTTTTTAATCCACTCATACTCCCTGGTTTATTTATCCTTTACACTTGAACGTCAGATGTATTCAAATTTTAAAAATTTATCCAAAAATTATCAAACTTGAGAAGACAAGTTATTATAGATCCAAATTTTTTAAACGAAGTAAAAATATCCGAGCTTATAAAAATTAAATCAAAAATACTTGTGTCTAAAAAGTGTTAATAATATTTATTATTAATTTTTATTTTTACTATTACTATCATTAGCAGTGCATCTCATACACTTCGTTCGTTGCCAGCCCGTGTTATACAGAGTCCACAGTCTAGTTGAATGTTGGAGGAAAATATGATGCAGATTATAAACAATCAGAATGTCTGTGTGTGTGCCTGCCTGTGCGTTATAACATTTACTCTACAGATATATATATATATATATATATATATGTATATATATATATATATATATATATTTAATAGTTTTCCAATCCATTCTCAACTCTCTCTCTATATATAAATGTTTATATATGTATACATATATGTAAACATTTATATATATATAAAAACTGAATGTAGAAAAATAGCCTGTGAACAGTATATGTAGGTAGAGCAAACATTGTTGAATGTATGAATGAATGGATGGATGAGGCATGTATTTATGTACGAAATGTATGTAGGAATGTATGGGAGAGCAACAACAGTGATATATAAAACAATAAATAACATTAACAAACCCAACATAGAGGATAAAAGGACAATGATAATGACGTTCAGCTGAAATCAATTAGTTAGTCTAAAGTGCCTAAAATGAATGAAAGAGTGAACGAATGAATAAAAAATGAATGAACGGTAGTGGCGCTTTATGATTTATTAATGTTTTAAACAGCAACAACAATAACAAAACTATAAATAGAAACTTTCTTAGAAAAAAGTAAAAGTTTGAAAGCATAACCATAAAAACACACACACATTTATATTTAAAAAATTCAGTTGAAGTTGAACACACACACACACACACACACACACACACACACATGCACTGATATACACAATTAAACGAACTCTGCATGAAATCATTTGAACAATTTTGTTAAGCCCTTAATAATAAGAGAGCACTATTACAATCATATCATCATCGTTGTCGTCGTCATCATCATTATTATTACATTCAAGCATTCATTCAATCGATCAATATAAATACAAAGTCCATAACAATAACAAACAATATTTAACAACAAAACGCTAACAGTAACATCAACAGTAACAACGATATTGATGTTATTATTATTTCGAAGTATTCGGCCCATCAGCAAAGAACAAAAATATATTTCGATTTTCGGTTCTCAGGGAAATGACTGTGAAAAAATCGACCGCAAATTCTTTTAAAACCTTTAGATAAAAGATCAGTTCTCACTCTCTCATACAACCTATCAAACATGACGATGTAAGTTCGATTTGAATTTTGTTTAAGTGTCGACCAATCGTATTGCTCGATCCATTTTGATGGCGAGTTGAAGAACCAATCAGCTTCATCCACATAGTGTATGGCGTGATTCAGGTTCGGTTCGCAGGTTAGAAATTGCATTGTGACGTTCTTGTGTATGTAACTAGATAGAGGAATAAAAATAATTTTTACAGCAATAATAATAATATTCAACATTTATTATTATTATTAATTATAAGTAAATATAGACCTATAGAATGGCGTAGAATGGCAAGGCATGAGAAATAACACACTATCTCGATCGTCGAGATGTTTTGAAAGATATAGCGCTACATCAAGTGGACCCCTCTGATGAATAATGGACAGGTACATCCCTAGAATTATATTAGGAACAACGATCAGTGACACTGACAGATTTTTACACAATGTTCCCTTCAGGTGATGAGTAAGTTTTCCTACTCTATGCGTTACTGACGATGATGGTGATGATGACGACGATGAGTTTAGTGACTTCATTGCCTTGTGTATGATGGGCTGTTGAAAGAGTTTGTAGGCAGTGACACCAGAGACGTGCATGAAGATGGGAAGAAGACCTGACATGAACCTGAACTCCTTGTGACCCAACAGACTGGGTGGGGTTGTTAAATTCAACTCAAGTACACACACACGTACACACCAACACATACTAGCACACATTTAAAAACGCATTAAAACGAATTCATATAAATTAATAGACAAGAACCAACCTATAAATAAAGACGGTCCAAACAATGATGAACAGAAACATCCCATCACTTCCACACTCACTGACGAAGACACTGTCTCCAACAATCATCTCGTCAGTGCTTTTACTCTGCTTGCAGATGATGATGAAGATGCCAATGACGACGAAGATGATGTGAGTACACAGAACAACAGGCAAGCCCTCAGTTAAGTACCTACGTGTGTGTGTGTGTTTGAATACATCTTTGTTAATTTAATAAATTCTCTTTTAAACATTTTCCAGTGGTACCAACAACGAACGTGTACATTTGCATGCTCATAAGATTGAGTACTACACGAAACTATTAACAAACTACCAGCCTAATTCACCATATCGACGCCACGTTAAATAAAAATCGAACTATAGTGCGTGTTCAGTAATACATAATGGTAAGTGTTCGATCGATTCATAATACTATAAAACAAAAACGTCGGGATTTCTATAACCGATTTATACATTTCATGCTCGTGAGATTGAGTGCTACATTAATCTGATAGCAAACCGCCAGCTTAATTCACTACATAAGCGCCACATTAAATAAAAATCGAACTATAGTAACACACAATGATAACTATTCGGCCAATTTAAAAGACTTTATAACAAAAACGTCAGGATCTCCATTGCCAAATTATTCATTTTCATGCTCATGAGGTTGAGAACTTCATGAATCTGGTTAAAAAATCTACCAGCCTAATTCTCCAAAATAATTGTGATAACCATTCGTGTCTAAAAGTTAAAAATGATGAATGTTCCCGCGTAAAAACCGATTTTAACTGACTTTTAATAACAGCCTTCCCACAACGGATCATCCCGACCCCCACCATCCAGCACTCTACATACCGAACTTAAATTAAATTTCTATGAAAAAAAATAACTATAAGGCAGAAGAGAAACAGGGATGTACCAACCAATGCCAGGAATGTACCCCATAAAAGTCGGCCACGTTGTGGAGAACATTGAACTTAAAAAAGTTGTACTGAACGAATGTGAATGAACCGTGCATGTAACTATCAATCGCCGAGAACAACATCTGCAACGCTAAACTAGAAAGTTAAGTGAACAAATAATTGAGTTAACGAATGGGTAATTAATCAATTAACTGAAAAACTAAATAAATAAGTACACAGTTAAACATATAGTTAAATAAATAAACATATGAAATAAACATATAAACATTCAGTTAACAGCAAACCAAATTATAAATAACCTGACAAAAACTGATCGAATGACCAAACTGCTTAACACTTTCAACTTGCCCCATCTCGTATTAAAACTTTCAAACTCGTGCCTTAGTTGATGATGCTGATGATGATTATGTTGATGAAACATTGCGTCATAGAAACACCAACAAACGACGGGAGTGATGATAATGATGCTGGTCGTCCTCATGACAATGCAGATGTTTGCAATTGCTACGAGCGTCATTACGTTTTTCTCACCATTCTTCATTCCTCCCTTCTTCCTCTTCCCGCTTGCCATGTTCGTTTGGATCAATTAATAAATAAGTTAATTAATTAATTAACCCCTAAATGAGGTCAAAGCCGGCGAAAATGACCAACCCAGCAAGGTTCCATAACAGCAGTGCAATCAGGCAGCACTCCACTGAGTTTGTTAATGTGCGAGTTGATGTGTAGAAAATAAACCAATTTGAAAGTTGAAAGAATAACGTCCAGCAACCAATCATATCACTTATACCATCTGAACAGCCAATCATATTTTTCCCACCATCTGAACAATTTTTTTCGTTTGATCCATTCGATTTTGAGAAATTGATTGACATCTTGTAAACTGCATAGTCAGTAATGGCTGCTATTAGTGACTGTATGATGATTGGTCCTCTGATCTAGAAATATTTTTCTTAATTTAGAAACATCAAATATCTTTTGGCATTTAAATACTACTTAAAATACTTATAGAAATGTTTTTGAGTAATAAAACCTAATGACCAACAATCAAAACTGAATAGTCGAGTTTGAAAAGCTTGAGAACGTAAAAGTATGCAGCAAAGATGAGTGGGTAGCTGTAAGATCTTAAACCATTCTTCCACTCCCAGGTCATGTGACCATAACTTAAAATTTTTTTTGAAAAAAAAAGTTTAGTTTAATAAAATAACATTTGTGACACAACTATACACAGGCACACACACGCACACGCACACACAGAAACACGCATACACAGACAAACTAATGTGAAAAATATATTATTAAAGAAATGAAATAATTAAAAGAATTAAACGAACCCAAAGACAAGTTTGTGAGCAACTTCAGTGCACTGCCAGTATTCATCGGGAACATAGAATGTTTGAACGAGAAATGAATTTATAATTCTAAAACATAGAACATAGAGAAATAATCGTCTGTTTTTGTTCGGGGATACACAAATTTGAGTGCAGAGAGGGCCAGTATCACTAATTTCTTCCCCATTTTTGCATGTATTAGACTTTGCTGGCTTCGATAGTGGTTTTTCCTAATTATATGTTAATCATATTTTATTTTAGGCTCTACTTTTAGCTGAATTTTAGTTGTAATTATATAAAAAAAATTAGTAATATTATGTATTCATGTAGTGTAGTTAATCATGTAATTGTAATATATTGCAATTTATAATGCATTTTACATACAACACAATTTCATACATACAATACAACTGTGGGCATACAGTAAAATAAAATAAAATATAAGGATGATAAAAGGAAGGCAATACAATTTAAATATTATTATAAAATACAATTGGGGTGCTTCAAAGATTGCCAGAGATTGTGTTGATTTATTTTCATTTGTAATTTATTTATAATATGAGTGTATTGTATTTTTTATATGTTTTTGTTTTTAGTTTAATTAATTTAATTTAATTAATTTTTAATTAATTGTTAATGATCTGCTAATTAAAATTATAATACATAGGAAGGTGAATAAAAAAGTAACTTTCAAATCGTCATTTTGCTTTTTTAGTCTGAGTTTGATGTCAGTCATTTATTTTCGGCTAATTTGAAATGAATTCTTGGCTAAATATCAAACAATTTAAAAAAAACCACTTTAAAAAAACTTTTACCGGGAAAACCCATCGAGGCTCATAGAAAAACTATCTTTGGCAAAAGTTAATTTCTAATATAAAAGTGATGTTCTGTCTATGCTTAAACATGGACGTTCTATTTAGTGTGTTGTAATCAGTGATACTTTTTTTAATTTTAAGCACGTACGTTTCGTGATAAATTACTGAAAATATTAGATAAAGTTATTAATTAGAGTAAAAGTAGAATATAAAACACCATTCGCCTCAAGTTTTTTATCTTCGATCTTTCTGGCATTCAATCAATTTTTTATGTGGGGAAAGTAGAATAGAAAGTTGTGCTTTTTTATTCCGTTCGTTCGTTGATCAGGGATCACGTTGGCAAAATCATATCGTCAGGTTTCGACAAACTAAACTTTCTCTAGTTTTTAGTTTAGTTAAATTTATTTTTGCTTCAGTTTTGTTGATTTGAATTATAATTGGTAAAAGTAAGACATAAAAATTTTTTTAAATATCCCATTTTATAATAATATAATTATATAATATTATAAATATCATTTTTTTAAAATTTAAAATTAAAATAAATACAATATCGAAATTTTAATTATTTATATTTTCTATTTAAAAAAAGTACAAGAAAATTGTAGTGAGTGAAAATCTGAAAGGTAAATGTTAAGTAAATGAGATGTCTTCCAATCACCGATCATTAAAATCTCCTTCGCCATTTTTGTTCAAAAAGCCTGGCAGATCAAATTCAGTTGATCAAAGTTAGTGTTGTTGTTGTGTGTATGAAATTAATATTAATTATTTTACAATTTGAAATACCAGCATTAACTTAGTAAAATTTAAAATGGCATATATAAAAAAAATAGGCACATTGAATCCATAACTAAATGTTTAGTCTACTAGGATAATTTTTTATTACAATATAATATTCAGATAATGGAATAGATAAAGAGCAGTTTGAGAAATCCTTTGATGACACGCCTTCTATAAATGTAAGTTGTTTCTATTTGCATTCATTTAAATTGAAAATATATAACTTGTATGTAATTTTGCCAACCAATAGTTGTTAAGTGTTGAATTACTTACCAGGAAATTTTAAAAAACTTTTCCCAAATATCCCCCCCCCAGATATACTCTCCTAAAGATGTTGTTGATCGCCTTTCAAAAATCAAAGAATGCATCAACAACCCTGATTTGGACTGGGAGAAGAGAACATTTTCTGTATGTTCATCTATCTACATCTATGTTTATTCAACAACATATATATATATATATACATATATACAATGTATTGAATTTTAAAGTATTTTTTGAGTTCTTGAAAAAGTAATGCTTGTTGAATACTTTCATCACATTTCATGTCAAATTCATTAAAGTCTTCTTATGAGGTAAATGTTTGTCAGATCAGTTATTTCAGTTCCCATGTTCTCAAAATATATATGTATATATACTAATTGTGGGTTTATATTTGTGTGGCTCAACTAGTTTTTTAAAACAAGTAATTGATTTGTCTTAAATTGAATTTAAAAACGATTGAAATAGTTGAAAGAGTTGAGGTTCCTGACAAACAATGGCCACCTCATCAGTATGTCAGACCTAACACAACAACTGAGGTTCCTTGATATTGGACTTCAAACATCTCTCAAGGATTTGAGGTCACAAGTTGTCAGAGAGGCTTGCATTACAATCGCGTTAGTACATTTGTTATTCATTGCCATTGCATTTGCTTCTTCATTAATATTGAGTAATATTTTTATTATGATGGGTCACTTAACAGATGCATGAGCAAGGAACTTGAGGTGAAGTTTGAATCATCCAGTGAACTTCTCCTACCAATCCTCATAGGTCTCATGCAGAATACTGCAAAAGTCATGGCCAATTCTGCTGTTGTCTGCATAAAATTTCTGCTCAAAGTTTGTGAATATGGTTTTCTGATTTCCTCAATTTATCATAAAATAATGAATTTTTTTATTTATCGCAGTACATTCACTCTCCTCGTCTGATAGCAACCATAGCAACAAATCTAACATCCAAATCCAACATAATCAGAAAGTTTTGTTGTGAGTTTATATGGATCGTGCTCTCTGATTGGTCGAAAGTTGAGTTGGAACGCCAGGTGACCATCTTCCAGGAGTTTGTGAAGAAAGGATTGGTTGATGCTGATGCTGATGCCAGGATGCACGCCAGGAAGTTTGTTCTGGAGGATGATTTGTGATTGGCTGCTGTGTTGATATTTGATTGGCTCTTTTTTGTTTTGTTGTATTTCTAGTGTAATTTTATAAGCAGGTAGATAGCTTGCTTCATTGATGCCACTGGAACCACTAACTACAAATAACATTTCATTCCATCAGGGCATTCGCTTCCTTCTCCATGCACTTTCCAGAACTCGGCTTCACCATCCTTTCATCATTTGATGCCTCAAAACAAAAACAACTTCTAGCAGAACTTGATGATCCTGGCATGTTCAATGGAATGACCATGCAGAACCGAGCAAAAAGTACTGAGAGATCTTCTGCCTCTGCTACTGGGTTGGTTGGTTGGCTGGTTGATTGATTGATTATTTGGTGGGTTGGTTTGTCAGTCAGTTGGTTGTTTGTTTGATTTTTTGATTGGTTTGTTTGTTGAATGATTATTGACTGTTTCATTAGATTAGACAAATGTTCATCTAATGCATCTTCTAAATTTAATTTAAAAACAGGTACCAATCAACACCCTTGAAAAAGAACAACATCGGTAAAATAAAATGTCACACACATTCACTTTTAATTATTAATATCACTGTTCCTTATTGCTTTAATTATATTAAAATCGTAATAATAATATTATTTAAAATAATAATTTAATCATTGATTGTTTATGTTAGAATGGAAACCGAATTTATTGTTAATCGTTTTAAATGATTTCATGATTAACAAACAAAACGAATCATACACTGCTTACAGAATCTTCTCCCTTCATAAATATGACTAAATATTTTCAATCAGCTTAATTAATATTCAAAGTTTTATAACAACTCATTGAATTTTAATGTGCATATAATGGTATTCATGCTTATTACTTTTATTAATCCACCAACGCTTATATTCCCATATAGTTCAAAATTAATAATTTCATCTATACCATTGTAATGCTATTTTACCATCCCATGTTACTAATTTTAGACTTCATTAATATTCATTGATGCAACAGTCGATGATTATCTGATGCGTCGTGAAACAGCCACCTGTATATTTCAACTTTCTCTTTATGTTATTTGTTTAATTTTCATCTGATTTTGTTGTCAATGGTAATTTTTTTAATAAATTGGGTTTTTGGTTTATGTAGCGACAACAGCTCGTCACCCGGACGTTGTGCCAATTTGTAAAACCCCAAAGCTTACTAGGACTCAGTCTATTGGGGGGAAAGATGGAGTGGGGGGGTTCAAGCGTTAGTGGTGATGATGATGATGTGAGGACGATGATGATGATGATGATGTGATGTCGATTGTTATGTGGCGAGGTTGACGACAGCGATGATGGTGATGATTAAATGTTTAGAAAAAGTTATGATTAAATGTTTAGAAGTCAGTTGTTTTGTAATTATATTTTCATGCAGTTACCTTAGGACAGTGCTTGCTTAATTGCTTGATATATTAACACAGTATTTCACCACAGCTGAAAAAAGCAAAACTAACAATGTTTATTCCTTCATTCAAATACACTTTTGTATAGTTCATTCAATGATTCATCCATTTATTCATTCACTCATCTATTCATTCACTCATTCCGTCGTTCATCCATAAGCTGATCAATCAAATTTTTTAACCAATCATTCATTTATCCATCTATCCTTTCACTGCTAGAACCATCAACGCCAAGCTCAACACTGATACGAACTATTCCAAGAACACTTCCCAAGTCCAAGATATCTCAATCACAACGTCAGTGCTGCTGCTTCGGAATGCCTGTGTGTGTGTGTGTGTGTGTGTGTGTGTGTGTGTATGTGTATGTGTGTGTGTGTGTGTGTATGTGTAGATGCACGTTTATATGCAATTATGCATACACTCGTTTACAACTGTACATGCATGTTTAAATAACCAACAATTTTTAAATTATTTTTTGTTGAACATTAGCGTCTAGTCGTTCTGGTTCTCCAAACCGAACACCACTTGCTTCAAAAATGGCACCGCCTGACATCACCAACAACAGCAATTGCAAAATAGTTGGAAGCAGCAGCATAAGCAGTAATGCTAATTACCTGAAAACCCTACCATCTTCAATTAAGAAGGGGGTTACAACACCAGTCAGGAAATTTACTTGTCAGAGTCAGGGGAACAGTAGAGATACAAGTCCTGAGAGAAGAGGTTAGACGATGATGATGATGATAGTGGTGATGATGATGACACGTTTGATGATGAAGGAGATAATGATGATGTTGGCGATGTATAAGATGAAGAAGAAAACTATGATGGTAGTTGTGAGGTTATGATGTTGAGGGTGAAATGACGGGAACGATGATGTTTCCATCACGGGACCACGCTGCAGAACTGAAGTACAATGGACTGACGACAATAAGAAGGGGCAGCGAATCGACAACACCATCGCAATCCCACAGAAAACAACAGCATCAGCTGACTCATCAGAGGATCGAAGACTATGGCAGAGATCTCGAAGCTGCCGTAACGGGCGCGTGGGTTTGTACTTTACATCATTCATCCATCCATTCAGCCATTTTTATTAAAAACTGACGAATGACTGGCAGAGACATAGGGAGTTGAGGAGGAGTCAGGACGATGAGTCGTCGAGCATCTGTTCAGAAAGTTCATTCAGATCATACTCCGATCTCTCTGAGGTCACATGAACCTTTCATTTTTTCATTTACTTTGGTACATTCAGCCATAGATTTTTCATGATTCAACAGCAAGCACACGTGATAATTTAAATATTCATAAGGCCAACTAATTATTTCTTCCAACTGGTAGGACGTAGTCGACATTATCAACAGCCTGACGATTGCATCCTGGTCAGACAGGAAGGATGGTCTTATAAGGTTGCAGAGGTTTCTCAGGTCTGAAAGGAGATTGAGGTAATTAATTTTACGTACCATTCATTACTTTTTCATTTAATATAATATAATCAGAGCCGCTAACTCTGCTCATAAAAACGAGTGCAGTATAATTTTGTAATTTAATATTTTCTCCATCAGCTTGCCAGAATTAAAACGCCTGACAGAAGTCCTAACTCGAATGTTTCACGATCCCCATCCAAAAGTCTTGACCCAGTTTCTCGAAACCTTAGTTGACCTTCTGTATGGCTACAGCTGTGACCTTATTAACTGGCTGCCAATCATATTGAATCGTCTCATTTCAAAATCTGGGTCAGATGTATTGGGTAGTTTACAGGCGAAGATCGCTGAGGCTCTCAACACTGTCAAGTTTGTGGTGATGATGATTGTTGAGATGATGATGATGATTGTTAAGATGATGATGATGATTGTTAAGATGATGATGATGATGATTGTTTTGGTGTTGATGATTACAGAGAGACTTTTCCAGAGGACAATCAGTTATCAGCCATCATGAGATTCATTGTGGAGCAGCAACAGACTATCAACATCAGAGTTTGTTCATGCATTCATTCTTTTTATAGATATTTTTATTCATTCATTCCTTCACTTAATCATCCATTCATTCATTCCTTCACTGAATCATCCATCCATCTATCCACTTTTTTCTTTCTTTCTTTCATTCATTCATTCATTCTTCCATCCATCCATCCACCATCAGATAAAATCTTCAATACTGAAGTACTTGCTATCGTTGCTGTTAAAGATGGAGCCGAACGTTCTAGCGAACAACAGTGATGCCAGGCTTGCAGTCTCAAAAATCGTCACCTGGACCTCAGAGCCTAAGAGTGCTGAAGTCAGGAAGGTCGGTTGGTTGGCCATTGACCGCTTGACTGATTAATATATTGTTTTACCATCTATTTGTTCATTTTAGAGAAAATAGTTTGAACCAACTAACCAATCATCCATCCAATCAATGAATGGATGGATGAAAAAATTGATGAATGAATGCGTGAATGAATGAATAAATAATCATTTCTTAATTTGGTTAATGTGTGTTTCCACAACAGGCCTCACAGGCAGTCCTGTTGGAGATGCACGAGCGGAACAGCGTGGAGTTCAGCAAGATCGTATCCGCACTGCCCAAGTCTTTCCAAGTAACTCATCTTATATCACCATTCTGCCCTCTATTGTTATTCTTTTTATTTCAACCACCACCATCATCATCATCATTCTTTTTTGTCGCCAGGATAGTGTCAGAAAAGTTTTTTTAGATGTCAAAGAGTCCACTGTAAATAACCTGGCCAATGGCAATAATAATAATAATTTATGGGACTCGTCCAATCAGTTTGCAGATAGAAAAAGAAGTTTATCACGGTCAAGTAACCCGAGTCCTAATAGGTTGGCTGATGACAAATTATTATGATCTTGAATAAATTAATATGATACATTTTAATGAGTAAATCGTTTTTTAACCAACTCACCGAATCACTCACACCACTCAATCAACCAATCAAAACAATTGCACAATTATTCAACCAACCAACCAATCATGACATTGACATAACTGCATTCAACCAATGATAGGGAAGCAATGCGAGAGAGACAAAACTACAATTACAACCACCACCATGAAGCTGGTTCGAGGGCAGATGGATGGAATGATGTCTTTGATGGAATTAGAAAAACGACAGAAGATATTCAACAGTTGAGTTTGCGGGGTGCCTGCGATGAGGACGACGGTGATGAGGGCATTGGAGGGAGAGGAGGAGGAGGTATGTTCACAAGCAAGAACAACAACTTCAACACCGACACAGACTACGACTACTTCAACAAAGATCTTTCAAAATGGGAGAACGAGGACTTGGGTGCTCTGATCGATGAGATTCGATCGTGCGACAACATCGACGAATGGTGCAGAGGAATGAGCCAACTTGCTAACGTGGCGAAGTTCTGTGAGAACCAATATTTGTGGGAGGTGCATTTCAGGATGGTGTTGTTGTTGCTGTTGGAGTCCATGCAAGATCAGGAGAACAGCAAGCGTCGTTGTTGCTCCCTGCGAGTCATGAAGGAGCTCCTGGAGAAACAACATCTCAGATTTCAAACCTATGCAGAACTCACGGTGATGAACCTGCTGGAATTTGAGAAAGACACGGATAGGGATGTTCAAAAATCAGCAGACGACTGCACATCAGTCCTTTCCAGGGTCATCCCAACGGATCAACTCGTTTCAATTCTCAACCCCATCACCATTACTGCTGACTATCCGATGAATCTGGCTGCCATCAAGTTGGAAACGAAGGTGGTGCAGAATGCAGATGCAGGAAGAGTTAAGGAAATCATGGAGATAATAACGCCAGGCCTCGTCAAGGGTTTCGAGAATAATGAAAGCAGTGTGAGGAAGGCCAGTATGACTTGCCTACTTGCTATCTACAAACACGTTCATAACGATCTCATGCCACTACTCACTCAACTAAATCCTAACAAGATGAAGCTACTGAATCTCTACATTAAGAGGGAATCCGATGATATCCCAGCTAACTGAGAGATCGATTGATTTGTTGATTGATTTGTTGATTGATTTGTTGCTTGTTCGAAAAATTTTTAATACAACTACTGTCACCACCACCACCACTGATACTGCTAGCATTACTACCATTCTCATGTACAGCTGCTACAATGTGTTAAGTACTCAATCTACTGCTTTTTCAAATTCTACTGCTAGTATTATAATTTTACACTTATACACTATAAATAACATTTCCTAATTCAATACTTCCCATTCAGCATCACCACCATTAACAGTGTTATCGGTTCTTATATTTTTTTTACTGCTTTTAATAAAACACATGAAATTCTGAGATAAGCAGCTCATACAACAGCAAGCAAGCACCATGGAATTTTCCATGATGATTCTTTTAATTTACGTTATCACATCTTAGTTCGTTTAGTTCTCTCATTTAGATTTTATAGACTTCAGTTTCCATGTTTTGATTCATTAATTTATTAATTACATTCTACTGACATTATTGCATAAAATTTGTTTATTGATGTGAGAAGTAACATGTTTGTTCATTTTACAACAAACCGGAACGCATATATACATACATACATACATACCTACTTGCATACATTCACATACACATACATACATACATACATACATACCTACTTACATACATTCACATACAAAATACATACATACATGCATGCGTAAATATGAAGTGTGATTGTTGCGAACAGCCTTTGTGAACAGCTCAATAATATGAACGAATCGGTAACACTATGGACAAGCGGTTTTATTTACAGCATGCCTTGTTAGATAATTTTAATATAAAATCTTCATAGATTTTCTCGTTTTGACTTTTAAATCAGTTTTTTTATTCTTATTTAGTTTATATGGTCAACAAGTAAGATGTTTATCGATGCAATTCATCTTGTCCGATTCATCTTATACATGTTACAAAGCGAATTTCTAACATTTAAAAAAATATTTCATCTGTTTTATGTAGATTCTTTCTTCTAATTAATACACATTCAATATTTTTATATAAAATTTTTTAATTAATAAGTTAATTTTAAGTATGTAAACATTAATCTTACCCGTACACGTGTATGTAGTAGATACAATCAACTTATCTGCGCCGTTACGTTATGTTACTTTATAATTTTATTCAATGTATCTAATGCCTTTCAGCAGTGCTTTGCTGTGTCTGTCTATGTTTGCATGTTGTAAGTTTATGCGTGTGTTTGTTCGTCGGTATCATAAAATTTATATTATACCAATTACGTTATCACTAACATTAATAATAATCTGTACAAAAATAGATGTCTTTTGATGGCGGGTTTAAAATTTCAACATTGTTCATTTTGACTGCTTTTTTAACAGAATTATTCAAACGTTTGCAAATATGTACCCTGTTGTGTGCGATGAGAATATATGTATGTATGTATATGGTGTGTATCTCTAAATATTTTATGTATGTATATATGTATCTATGTGTGTATGCGTGCATGCATGTGTGTATGTGTGCGTGCAGAAAATAAAAGATTTCCCCGTCAATCAATCTTCCACCACCTATTAAAATGTTATTCTACATTTAATGTTTCTTAATAAGTATGCAATGTCATCAACTTTTTACATTATTTAAATCAGAATTATATATTCGTTACTTAATTTTCAATCATTTAATTTGAAATTATATTTTATAAATGATAAATCAACGTTCTCAAATGAAATATTACAAGTGCCTTTTTAATTTTTCACACAACAGCCATCAAACTGGAAAAAATTACAAATTGATTTACCATTAACAAATAGTTGTTACAATTAATACATATTAACAAGTATGTTAAGACGCTACGGCTGAAAACATACTTACAGTTACTGAAGCCATTTTATTTATATGAAAATTAGTTTTTCTGATTTGTTATACATCAAGTATTTCTACGTTTATTATTCTTCGTTAAAGAAGTTTCATCAGATTTTATAACGTTTCAATTTGTTATGATAATTAGCGTTCATTTATTTACCTTCCATCTATAATATTTCATTTACCATTCTTTTATTTCCTCGCCTATTCTTTCGTGAATGTATTTTAACGAAATCATCATCTGTAACATCAGCGTCATCGTCCTTTTGTAACATTACATGAAATGTTTTCTCAACTTTGTAAATAAATATTTTATTCGTTACAAACTTCTCGCATGTTTATTATTATTATTTTCGTGTAACATCATTTCTTCGGTTACAATGGAGAAATGTTTAAATATTGATAACATACACTCCTTGTAACGTGAGCAGGGGTCTAGACAGCTTTGAAGTACTACACGAATCTACCGTAGTAACAAACTACCAGCTTAATTCACTATACCGATTTTGAGGAACGAGTCGTTAAACTCAGTTAATTTGTCAAGAATGACTTGAAATCAAATGATATTATGATCAAATCATACTTTATGGGTTCGAAAAGACCAATATTTTAATCAAATCTCAGAGTTACATCATTGTTAACCAGTCAGTTACACAGCTGCCGAATTTCTATTTTAAAAATTTGAATAGGTAACTCAGAAGCAGACGGCCGCTCCTTAGATTAATATTTTTCTATAGTGAAGAACACTGATTCTCAATTATCACTTATATAATATAGTATAATAATTATATTCTCACTGAATACAATAAATACTTCTTGGTCATCATCTATCATCGCGATCGTTGCATTTGAGTAACACCTCATTTTTGTTACACCTCATGTATATAATCTACAGATGATTTCCTTAATAGAATTGTAGAAATACAGATCAGGTATTTACTGTTTGTTATATTTCATAATACGTGAGAAATATGTTATAGAAAAAAATAACATATCAATTTTGGCATCATGATTCGAAGTTAATTGATGAAAATATTAGTTTATTAGCACGTTAATTTCCTAATATGTTGATGGTCATGTTGTCAGGTAACTATATTATGAAGATTAACAGCCGATCATTTAGTTTAAATATTGTTAGCTTCATATTTATTAATTAATATATACGGTTAATATAAACGCCATACCTACGTCTTTACTTAATAGGCTCTCCAATCAAAGCCAGCAAAATCTTTCTGTAATCTCCACTCGTATCGTCCTGACGTGTTTCAATTTAAATGAAATTTAATTAATTTGATCAAATTTAGCATTTCTTAAAAGGTATTATTCATCTTTTCGTTGTTAGCGTAAGTGCAAAAATAGAGAAGCACCTTAATGTATTGAGTTAGGGTTTGTTTGTATTTTGATTCGAATTCGCATTTGATTTGGACCATGTCTATCTCGCACCTGCCAACAACGACCCTGATCAGTTTGCTGTCTCTGGTGCCCAAGCCGTGCATCGAATCGTACAAACTCGTCGCGTAATACGACCTCTCGTCCCTTATGTAGTTCACTGGGTCGAAATAAATTTAAGTGTTCCATTGAATTTTATTGAAAATTTATCTAAACCAATCAATCAGCCAATCAATTAAATTTATATGGCCCAGATTCCAAAAATTTAACTGCGCTTAACTAAAAATTCGCCAAACAAACAACCCTTTTCAAAATTAAAAAAATTGTAATTTAAATTTTTCATTAATCTAACAATGATTAAAGAATAATTAATAATATATACTATTTTATAATATATACTGAATTGGGCCACCAACCAACCAACCAACCAATAGTTGTGAATGCTTTCCTCAGATCACCTGACATTTCAGATTTGATTGAATCGATGATGTCTTTCCCAGCTAACTTCATGTACTCTTCAAAAGTCGCCCTCAATTGAGACGCACTCCTGGGCTCATGATGAAATGAGAATTTTTTTAAATTTATTTTTTGTTCTAAAATTTCTTTTATTCTAATATTTTTTAATTAAAGTTCTGCAAAGATTCAAAAGAAAGCAACCTGGAGCAGAGTATGACGTTAAATCTAGATTCATCAGTTCCAAATTTCTTCAACTCTCCAGCTTCCATCAACATCTGTGCATCCCTACGAGCCATTTTCCGGCTTATATTTAGTGTTTTTGGTCTGTTTGCCTGCAACAAAGATACGAATAGTCTTTTCAAATTTCCCGATGTTTCTGATATAATGGACTGTTCTAAACTTTTGTTGTGTCCTGTTAATTTAATGAAATTTAAGCGTAAACGAACGATATTTAAAAAATTGTAATGGGAAATAAAAAACTGACTTAATTGGTATTCCTTTATTATTTCATTGAGTTCATCATTACTTTTGGTGCATAGAACTTCAATAAGGCAGTCTTCATCTGTGCCCAGACCCTTTTCATCCATGATAAGCATGAGATCATCAAAATATTTTCAACTCACCGCAATGTTAGATTATTTTATTACACAAAAATACAACGTTTTCAGCATTCCATAATTAATCAGTAGAGAAATATTTAGACAAGCAGACGCAGAAAAGCAGAAGCACCTTCATAGCAGCTCTCAACTCGTCAGCATAGAACTGCGGCTTGCTCTTGCACAAGCTCAGCACTACGCTAAGGAAATTACCACTTAATTCTGATTTGAATTCTGACATCAGATCCTTTTCAATTATTAATTAATTTATTTATTTATTAAATATTATTCATCAAGTATTAATATTGATAAGATAAATTATTTTAATTTAATATTTATAAGACGAAAAGTAGAGAAATTATTAATTTATGATCATTAGTAGAGTTAAGAATTATAAAATGATGCCCCCGCCACCTTTCCAAACATAGTTTTAAACATCTGAACGATTTCAGCTCTCTGATCATTACTCCTGTACGACATCACGTTGATTATGCTGCTTTCATCTGTGCCTTTTGTGTTCGTTGTTAATGTTGTCATTGTGGTACACGTTTATGTTAATTAATTAATTAATTAATAATAGAGTAATGTTTATTGTGTTTTTATTGACGCTGGTATCTTTGGGTGGCAGCTTCTTAACAGTAAGGTTGACGTTAAATGTTTTGTTTATTGTATTAACAAGTTGTTAATCGAGATCATCCCCAATAAAATCAGCACAAAAACCACACACAGTCAGGCAACATTCCACTCATCCATCCAACCCACCTAAACCTTTCATAGCTTTCCTCAACACTTCACAATCGGATTTAGCATCAAAGTTAGCAAATGGTTTCACTGTTCCTTCAACCTTTTAGCGTTAATGCCATATCTTTTATTTTTTATTATTAATCAGGCAATCATTCATTCATTCATCCATCTATCCACTAATTCATCTCATCAGTACAAACTGGAATTTTCTTTTCCTCCTCCATCACTTCTTCCTCTTCTTCGTCTTCATCAATCGTTGCACTATTCACATCAACGTCACCATTTTGTTGAGTGGTTGCGTTAGGAACGCTTGATGTTTCACCTGACAGTGGTCTGTCTCCGGTAAGGGCTAGTATGATTGACAGATAGTCCCCGGAGATATCGTCCTAATTTGGAAATGTTAGTTATGACGATGACGTCATTGTTGATTTCGTCGTTAATAAATCTGAGCAGTTGACCTACTTTCAGCCATTGCTGTAGTGGCTGATTGAATTTTCTCTCAAATTCTTTTTTTATTTGCACCATGTCACACTCACACCTTCGGCAAGATTTAATAAAAAAATTGTTCTAATGTAATTTGTGCTAAAATCAATTTTTCCATATTAAATGTTAAAAATTCTATTTAATTGATTTAAAATATAATTAAATTAGACAGAACAATGAGCTAACCTTGAAACGACGACTCTTATCAGCTGGTCATCATTTGTTCCTAGTCCTTTCATCGATTTGTGAAGCAGATCAGCGAAGTACCCCACCTTATTTTCTATCACGTTCACTAATTAATAATCAAAAGTAATAAATTATGTTAATTATTCATCTCAATCAAATCAAACTGCTTGCAAATTCACAAACCAATTGCTAAAAGGGCATTTTTGACGTCTCCAGAAAATTCACTACTAATGGCATCTTGAACGGTTTTGTTTTTATTTGATTTTTTGGAGTATTCCCTGAACAGAGCTCTCAAGTGTGCCTGACTTCTCTGGCACATGATCTTATTGAAACTGTCTCGTTAATATTCCCATTCAAATACTTATGAATATTAAAAAAATGTTTCATGAATATATATTCTCTATAAATAAGCAGTAATATAATGGAGACAATCGTTATAAAACATTCCATACAAAAATATGATTGGATAATAATTAATACCACCGCAAATATTAAATCATCAGCCAATGAAATTAAATTAACACAGTTGTAGGAGTCTCATGAATTTAATCGTAAATTTAAGAGGCTTCACGGATATTAATAAAGTACTGACACGGATTCATCAGTACCCCACTTGTCCTGTCCCGCCCTCAGCAACTCAGTGACGTCATCTTGCACGCTGGTGAGGTCGTAAGTTAAATTTTCGTCCCTGTTGGCCTGCAGCTGCGAGATGAGCAGCTTGCGGAAATGACCTGAGGTGTCACCGCGAATGTCTTTCTCCAGCTCGGATTTGAATACTGCGTTGATGTTGTTGTACACGTGTGCGAGTGTTTGTTCACCCAAATATACATACATACATACAAATATGCATACAGTCGTACAGATACACACACATGCATACATTGTTTGTACGCAATCTTCATTGCTTCAATTTGTTTGTTGGTTCTTGTGCAGAGAATTTCAATCAAGACATCTTCATCTGTACCAAGACCCTGCGATATTCAAGAACATTTAAATCGCTTTACAACACTACTACTACTATTTCTACCACTTCTACTAGCACTATTTTTGCTGTTATATATAACTAATAATATATATAACTTATATATATATATATATAATTTATATATATAAATTATATACATACAATAGGTGCCTAAAGATACCTTGACCGCTTTCTTGATTTGACTGGCATCAAACACGTCAGGAGGCAAGCAGAGTGCTTCGCAACACGTCAAAAATTTACCACTAAGTTCGCTCGTTAGCTCCTTCGCCAGATCCTAAAACACAATTTCAGATGGTAATTAGCATGCAACACGAAAATATTGAGACATATGGGTTAGGTTTAGGGGCCCCTATCCCTCCTAGAATGTTGGCAGGACGCCTTCCAATTTAAAAATCAGTGCAAGCATTTGAATTTACAAAGCACATTCTTATAAAATATTACACAAAAGTTCGTTTTCAACATAAAAAAAAATAATAACGACGCGACCGCAATGTTATTTTGTAATCGAAACAGAAGAAATATACACGTCTGGCTCGCGCGATTACAACAAGTTTTGTAATAATAAATTCCCACCACAACTTATGGCGGAGGCATTTCTTCCTGCTCTCTTCTGTTTAGACATAAATGTTACAAGATAAGTTTCATGAATAATAATATTTGTGACCTTTCCAAACATTGCTTTGAACTGTTTGACAATATGCATTCTTTGAATGTTTGTTCTGTAGCCCAACACGTCAATTATGGATTTCTCATCTGTTCCTGAGCGGTGAAAGTTCATGTCGTATCGCGAAACAAATTTACACGCGAAACAAATTTTCACGCGAAACAAATTTACACGCGAAACAAATTTACACGCGAAACAAATTTACACGCGAAACAAATTTACACTTAATTTACATCTTGTATATTAATTAAACATTATAAAGGATGAAAAAGTTGTTAACAAATAAAGCGTGCAAGCATGCATACGTATGCCTTAAAATACTAACCCAATCCTTTCATTGCTTTCCTCAACTTCTCACAATCATTTTCAGAGTTGAAATTAGGCCATGCTTTCAATGTTCCTTCAGCCTTTGTTACAATTTTCATAATAATAATGATAATTAAAATATTAATCAGTTTAAAGTAAATAATTTCAAAAAATTGTTGACTACGTTATTCAGCTATACCTACAAATTTATACATCAACTAATAACAAATTATGTGAACGTGATAACATAACATGGAACCATTGAAACTTAACTACCAAATATTCTTCAGTCTTATAATAAGGGTCTCTCTTATTTATGGCAGCCTCTTGAACATTTGATGATGAATCTTCTTTTGTTAGTTTTTTCTTTGCATAGCTTGCCATTGTTTTTGTGTTGACTATTGATTTCAATTTGTTCACGTTGTTGTTGTTGATGTCTTTGTTTTTATTGTTGTTTGTGATTGGTGGTTTATTTATAACAAGTGGGGATTTCACAACTGGTTGTGGTTGTTTTGTTGGCGGTGGTTTCACTTTCAGTTTTGGTCCATAAATTTTTTTGAATGTGATTCTCAAGGAGGCATCATCATTTTCATCACTTGCCAGGTCAACATCCATCAGCTGTCAAAACAATGAGCTAAAATTTGATAAAACGTATGTCCCAGTTTTCTTATTCCTATTATAACGACTGATATGTTGTTAATATAAAATATTATCGCTCACATTTCCAAGTTGATAACTACCAAAAACAATTTTCAATCCGTCGTCACTGGCCACATAACTTTTCAGATGTGCATAAATGTGGCTAACTTGTCCCAGCCAGTCACCATTGCCAGGACTACAGGCTGTCAATTCAGGTTCCTGATTAACATAAATTATTTGCGGCTCAACACATTCATTGCTTCTGATAGGTAAGTTCATCTGTGGTTGGTTAATTGAAGCCAGTCTGCTGCTGTTGATTGCCAACAAGCGATCACCTTCTTCTCTAATTATGCCTCTTAAATCATTCAACTGAACTTTTGGCTGTTCCAAGTTCTTAAGAATAAAACAATACGGAACACTTAATAATAATAAATCAAAATTTTAAAAGATGCATGAAACGTGACACAATAATTAAATATATCAAAAAAGGATAATTATAAATGAAAACTCATAACTGACCTCAAGAGCCCGATTCGTCATGTAACCCAGTTGTGAGTAGGATGAGTTATTGTATGATCTGGAGACTCCATTATGCAAATTATGTAAATGGGTCACTGGAATGCTCCACATATTTGCTGGCATTTGTTGATGAGGAATGAATGACGATGAAATGTTGTTGTTGTAGAGTTGTTGTTGTAATTGTGGTTGTTGGTAGGCAGGAACTGTTGGCATAAATATTAACGAAACAATTTCACCTACTTTTTATTCGGGTTATAATTTTTATTCCATCCTGTTATGATGCAAAATCAATGAAATCAAAAATAAATAGAAAAGAAAAACTAACGCAAATTCTGTCCGACATAACTCATGTTCCAATTCACATTGTTGTTGTTGTAATTATTGTTGTTGTAGCCAGGATAGAAATTATTATTATATTGCATGTTACGATCGTTGACGCTGTAGGCAGACACAGATCTAGCCATGGGTACATTTGTGGGAGCAGAAATTGGTCTTCCATCATAACCCTCATCAGAGTTATTATTGCTTTCTAAGTTTTTGTTGTTGTATTCGTTAACATCATCTGCCTCTTCTGCAACAGATTGCACATTAAATGTTTTTGTGGTTACAAAACTTGTTTTCAGCCCATCTCTGTGATGTCATCAAAAGCGTTTTTAAAGGTTAACTTTTGAACTTAGCCGAGTTAGCTACTTAGTTACTCAGTCGGTAGAAATGACATGTCTCGAGCGACTATTACGCTACGTGGCATGGTTCGAATACTGTCTGTCCGAAGCTCAAAGACCATCATACGCACATGGTGCGGCGCTAGCACGTAATGTGCATTGCGTCGTGTGGTGGGTGTAGATAGAGTACAATGCAGCCCTTGCGGCACGAGTTTAATTACAAGTACAGGATAACATGTAGCTCTGTATTTGACAGAGCCGCATTATAAAGAAAAAAAAATTATCAGCATCAAAATATCATGAATATCACACCTTGTGGCAGCAACTGCCTTAACAATTCTTCTACCAGATTTAAGAAGAAATGGTCCTTGGTAGAGGAATGTTGATCGACCTTCTAAACATTTTGTGCTGTAGGGAAGAGGTTTCGAGTTGTCAACTGTGAAAAAGACCTTACATTCCGGAGTATCTATCAAGCAAGTTCATTATATTTTAGATTAAATAATTTAATCTATAAAGTTTAGATGGGTGGATGTATAGTCAACATACCAAACCACATTCAACTGAAATCGATTTATTAGACAAAAATAAAACTAAGACTAAAATGAACTTCCACATGAAAACCAAAATATGACCAAACTTTTATAATTTCGACATGAAATTTCAGACACGGCAAAAAACACACTTCTACAACAAACATAGCAATGGACAATTGAACAGCAGAGAGAGTAACAAAAACCTGTGGTTAGTTCAATATAAGTGTCCTTGTAAATGTTGTTAGCACTTTTATTTTTCCTGTTGTTGGTAACTGCAGATCCGTCAATGGTGACCACATTGTTGTTTCTGCTGCCTGTCTTGTGCTTTCCTTTCTTCACCAGTGCAACTATAACTGGAGGACTAACTGCACCAGCAGACGGCATTCGAAATTTCTATTCAATCTTCCTGACCTGGATCTTAAAAAATAATAATTAGTTCAATTTTTCAACAGATTGATTTTACTCTTTACAGATCTTCTCAAGCACTTTCATTTATATAAGATGAGTAACACAACCAACAAGCATAACAACTCGTCAGCTACATAAAATAATTACCTAATAATTACAAAATTATAACCTGAGAGCACGTACAGAGTGATTGAGATTTTACATCCGAGACACAAAATTTTGTTGATCAATTTGAAGGCAGGTGCCCGAACGATGTCGCCAATAGCAACGGCGAATAAACAACACAATTTCGTGAGCGCTCGAAACAAGAGATTGACAGATGTACGTGCGTTCGGCACGATCATAAACACGTACGATATTAATACAAATGTAACACAAACACGCGAGCATACAATCAAGTACATACACAATTATTTACACAATTACACAAACACACAATTACACAAACATACAATTAAAAAAACAAAAAATGTGTTAGAAGAAAAAATTGTAACCAATCTTTAGCAAACTTGAACTTCAACAATACTTTACCATTTTTATTTTTACAGGTGTCAATATTATTAAAGACAGTTCTAAAACCATTTGAAAATTAGAAATAAACACAATAAGACAAAGAAAAAGTAAAAAAGTCAACTAGATTAAAAATAAATACTTGGAAATGAAAGATAATGCAAAGAAATTATATTAAATGAAAAAATACACAAAATTAAATACACTAGAAATAAATTATTATCAATAAACTATATCATCAAATATTTAAAATTATCAATAATAAGCACACAAACTGATTGATATTATCATAGATCGGATAAGGAAAATAATTCTGAATAAAAAAGTCAAACAAACAGTTAAGAAACTGAACAACAAAACATTATAAAGTCTAGAAATTATAAAAATTAACATCGCAATGAAGATAGCTAATAAGCTAGATATAAAGAGATTGTGTTTAAAAGTATTGAACTATAAACCATGATATTTACATTAAATAAATAAATAAATTAATTAATTAGTATTAAACAAGTTAAAAAACTAAATCTATAAATAAATTAACCAGAACGAAAAACAGAACTCCATTAAAGAAATGTTTGAGTGAAACTTAAAAAAAAAGTAATTTAAAAAGCAAATTATGACTAAGATAAGAAATTGATATAAAATCTTTAAGGCATGTTAGTATGTTACGTGTCATCCATCAAAAAAGAAATTTTTCATGCGAATATTTAACTAAAAAATTTGTTAAAAGTCATCAGTGGCTAGACATAACATATTTATGTAATTTGCATCAGTGGCATATATAATATAGAAGTACAGTAAAGACTCTCTCGCTCTCTTTCTATACATATATATATATATATAATATTATATATAAATATATAGTGACAATAATTAAAAATGGATGGATGGATTAATGGATGGCTGACACACCTGAATTTTTATATGTCATAGTATATATATATATATATATATATATATATATATATATATATATATATATATATATATATATACATATATTATGTATACATATATGTGTGTGTGCAACATTAATAAATAATTTGGTCCATAGAAGTTGTACATATAAAGGAAAAATACTATAAAATATGAATATTTGTTAAAGATTTCAAATAATAACCTTGTTCACTCCATATCATTACATAATTATTACTTTTAAAATAATTTTTGTATAATCATACATCTGCTATATTTAAAAACAAATCTATATATGTAAATACATAGATTTATAGAATACATACATGTATTTATACTTATATGGATATTATATATATATATATATATATATATATATATATATATATATATATATATATACCACATACTTGTATAAATAGAAGATATGCCGGTATGTAAGTTGTTGGGTATACTTAATAATAGATGCAAACGAATTATTTGAATAGAGAACAAAAAACACATTTGAATTATTGACGAATTACGCATGAATTTCACTAATTTACAATTCACTAGTGTCTGAAACATTTGTAAAGTGTATATGTATAATAAATGAACATTCAACATTTAACGATAACGCCATTAAATGTTAATCATGATTATTTAACCACTGATGAAATGATTTCATTGTGGGATGATTAATCATAAAAACGAGGCGAAGACGAAAATAAAGGATAGTCTTTGTTGTAAAAAGAGTAGAGTTTATTCATTTATGGCTCACACTCGTCAAAATTATAAAACAGTAATATTTTATTAGCCATATAAAACCTTTACCAGAAAATTTTAACTTTGTAGGAATACAAATGTTAAGAGAAAATTCAAAAACGAAAATAAATTGAAAAGAGATTCCATGAAACTTCAACAAATGAACAAATAATATAGAGAGGCATATGGCAACACTGCAATCCAAAACAACGGCAAACAGTTTAACTTGTGTAAGGTAATAATTTGACCTTAACATGAACCAAAACAATATGTATGTACGTATGTTTGTTTGTTTGTATGTATGTATGTGTCTATGTTTGTATTTATGTGTGTATATATATATGTAGGTGTGTGCATGTGTAGAAAATCCTATCATAGAGTTGCAACTATAACCAAAGATGACGCTACTTCATTACAAATATCATTATCATTATCATAGATGGAATTTTTGTTTTGAAATATAATTAATATAAATAAATAATTTTTATAAAATCCCTGAATGCAATTACAAATCAACATCATAAGCAACACTAGCCACATCTACATCATAATTATTATCATCATTAATTATTATCATCATAAGTATTGTAGTCGTCGTCTCCATCGTCATCATCACTATCATCTATGTATAATATGTTAGCATGCTGGGGTACAGAGATGCATGAATTACTCTTGCTATTAGTCTTCTTTTTACCCGCGATCTTTCCCCAATTATTATTATTATTACTGTTTCTGCTGTAATAAATATGGTTATTATTATTATTATTATAATTATTCAAAGTAGAGAGTGAGGATAGTTGATCTGTGGATGCGTTGAAATTATCACCGATGGATAAATTATCTTTGGATCTCTTCAACTTCCTGTTGCTCCAATATTTCGACAGCAACCTCGAAGATGGGCCCCCCTTTGAAAATCTCGACTGCTGAAATGTTGGAGATAATTCATTCAGTCTTGTAACTGCTTGCTGTAGGTTGCTAGGCAGCTGCTCTTGGTTGTTAGGCAGCTGTTCTTGGCTGGAAAGCCGTGTTTTGTTGTCATGGCAAATGTTGCTTCTCAAACTGAAGTCGTTGCTTTTGGATCTGTTTTGAAGTTTTTGTTTCCAGTTGATGAGGCCGAGTCTGATTGATGACGAAGTGGACGTTGATGATGTGTTGGTCAGCAGAGACGATGTGGATGAAGTGTTGGTCAGCAGTGATGATGAAGTTCGTGTGCCGCTGACAGCCGAACTGTGCAGGCTGTTTGTTCGTCGGGGTGCCGCTGCTGAAGCTGTCGTTGCTGTATGTGCTGCTGCTGGGGCCTGCAATGATGGTGATAGTGACGTACCATGATGTGATGATGACGATGATGTCGTTGGAGCATGAGATGATGAAGAGGAAGAGGATGATGAGGTCGTGGCTTGTGATGATGACGACGATGCGACATCATCAATGTTATCCTGGGTGGACCTACATTTTCTACTCATATGATAATACTTGTCACGATAATTATATTCATCATTATAAACTTCATCGTCGTCTCCATCATCATCAACATTGTCAACGTTCATGTTGCTAGCAAAATTTTTCGAGTGCAAATTAATTTGAATGTTGTTGTTGTTATTGTTGTTGTGGGTAGGTGATAAGTAAGCTGGCAACCTATCATCAACATTTTCATCTTCAACATCAAATAAATGAGGAGTTGAATGAGTCACAGCTTTTGACTGGTTCTTGTAAATACTGCTCGATTGTGATTGGTTCAAATTTGGACTTTTGCAAAACGATTGGTGGATAGATTGTAGGTCATTGAAATCTGAATTCTCATTGGTTGACATCATTGTGCTGTTACTCAATCTTTTCACCTTTAACCAAAATTAATAAGGCATCATCAATGCGAGAGTTGAAATCTTGATTATTTTTATTCAGCAAAAACAAACAACAACTCACCATGTAGTCTTCATTTGATTTGCATTTCTGTAAAGCTGAATTTGTAATCAGCAAAAGTTGGGTAATTAGAACTAAGTAATGAATATGCAAATTAAATGTAAATTAATTTATATATATTAACAATTCCAATCAGAATGATAAAATGAATTTAATACAAAGATGGAACTGAAGAGTGCAAGATAATCGTGATTAGTAAATAAAATGCAGCACTAACATTTCTTATTCCTCAAAGCACTGGTAAGATCTGGTATGGAAAAATATATTACCATCTATCAGCACTAACTAAACACTCATATCCTGATTGAATTAATACTTCTTTATTATAAAAATTAAGTTAATATAATTTATTACTATTCAATAATTACAATACAATAAAATATAATTAACACAACTAATTAATGTAATTAACATAATTCATTGAAACCTTGCAACTTAGATGATGAAGCAATACGACTGCCTATCTTCTTCTTCCTTCTCAACTCAATCTGCCCAAGCTCTTGTATCAGAGGTGTTGGCAAAAGTACTGATGATGATGACGACGTGGATGATGATGACGATGCTGATGTTGTAGGAGAAAGAAGGAGAAATGAAGAGAGGGGCCTCAATGGACTAGACATCAGTAAAGATGATGTTGAAGATGTCGTTGTTGTTGTTGTTGGTTGTTGTAGACCTCGTTGAAGGAGGTTTGAAATGTTGTTGCCGTTGATGTTGCCGTATTTGTTCAACGTTCTGCTTCTGTAATTGCTGGTAACACTGTAGTCGTTGTTGTATCTGATGTTGTTTTTGTTGTTGATGTTGTTGTTGTTGCTGATGTTAACATTGCTACCACTGTAGTTGATGTTGTCCGAGTTGTTTAATCGGTTTCTGTTGTTGTCGTTGAAAAGGATGTTGTTGTTCCTAATATCATTACAAACATTCTGAGATGATGTTCTGTCTCTTGAAACCTTCACATAATTACTGCAGTCTATGTTACCATTAGCAAAGCTGTTGTTATTCTTGTTTTTGTTGCTATTGCTGTTATTAATATTATTATTGTTGCTACTATTGTTAGCCTTGAAATTATTCAATATGATATTCCTGGCCTTATCAGGTATGTAGGCGCTGCTGTTATTAACAATGCAATTCCTAATTTGATTGCACCAGTTGCTTCTCTGGTCCCTGTTCTTCGCTCTGATGTGGATCTCGAGAGATGGGGTTGGGTGGGTGTGAATGCAGAAACTGAGAGGGCATTTCTGTACTGTCTCTACTATCATTAAGTCAGACCACTGTGGGATTTGTTTTTTATATGCATGAATGTATGTTTGTGTTTGTGTGTGTGTGAGTGTGTAACAAGTTCTATTATCAGATGTAGTAAATATTATAGTTTAATTGTACGATCAATAAAAAATAACTTGTAAAATGTTGAACAAACAAATCAGTGTATAATACTAACTAACCGGTATTAACACTTCAACAATAGGCACTGCTGCACTGTTACTAACACTGCTACTACTACCATTATTGCAGTTGTTATTGTTAGTGATATTAATATTATTGTTGCTTATGTTGTTGCTCGTTTTGTTGATGTTGTTGATGTCATCTTTATACTTCACAACCATCAGTACTCTTTCGAATAAGATCACGTGGCATATGTTTCTTGGATTCTGTCGGAACTTGTCCTAGAGAAAATTATTATATTGTGAAATGAGTTGCAACCACACAGCAACTAACTCTAACTCCACAACCACAACAGACAACATCTGATATCAAATAGAACATCGTCAACATGAGATAAGAGAAGCAAGAAGAGAATGACACACCTCTAGGAGCATCTGCCCACATACATTGGCATCTACTTTATCATTGTTGTTCATGATGGCATCATAAAGGTCTTGTAGTCGTTTGTTGTCGTCATGTAGTCGCTTCATCTCGTTAATAAAATTGGCGACGTCCAACATAATTTTAAAGGCTGACGTCACTAACAACAAGTCGGAATTGACGTTGTTGTTATCATCTGCAGTTGTTGTCAGTTCAGCTGTTATTAGTCTCATGGCAGGTTTGTTTTCATACATGGGAAGTTTAGTAATAGAAACATCATCAGCTTTGCAACCATCCTTTCTAGCACAGTTGTTGAGAGACATGCCATTGTTGTTGTTGATGTTTGTAAGATTTAATAACAGGCGCTGTATCATATATACAAATGTATGTATTATGTATACGTGTGTGTGCGTGTTTGTGTGTATGTGTGAGTGAGTGGGTATGTGCAAACAAAAAAATCAGTGATGGCAAATAACAAAACTGTATGTTTTTGTTGCAGACATGCATAAATGAACATATCCTTTGACATACAACTACACACAAAAGCATACAGGCAACAACACACACAAGTGCATACACACATAAGCAAACAAAAACCTCGAGCATTAAGTGATATCTCAACACGTGTTGTACAGGTTTCAGTAGATATGAATCCATTGACAAACTGTGTCTCAGTGAATTTTGAATACTGAATATAAATTCTTTCGTTGCATCATCCTCCAATAATGACATCCACACAGACTGTGAGCTAAATGATGATTGTTTGGTTGATATCTATTTAAATAGTTAATGATTGGTTGTGGATAAATTTAGTTGGTTGTTTCGATTGAATGGTTGTATATCTGAGTGGCTGTTTGCAATCGTTAAACACGAAATAAGTGCTAAACAACAACCTGCTGAAATTGGTGCAGTAGCTGCAGTAGATCTTAAACTGAGATGAATGCTTGATGAAGCATTTGGCAAGTTCACTTACGTTCATTCCACTCGCAGTCAGATCATTCAACATGTTACTGAGGTGTCAGTTGTAAGACATTATTATTATCATTAATGTTGTTGATATTAAACTACCAGATGATAACTGATATGTGAAGAATAAAATGTAATGATGAAGATGATAAGATTGGATAAAAGTTAGATAATGATATCAACAATGATAGTAGAGAATGATGAGAACAAGGTAATAATAAAAATGATAGTGGTGATAACAATTCAGAAAATGGTGAGTATGAAGACAGGATAATAACTTATGCAGCGAAAAAATTTCCTCAATATTCCCAAAAAGTGTTGAAAATTGAGAGGCCGATATAAGGTCTGGCCTGCCCTTCATTCTGAACATGTAGCCCTGAAAGCAAATTATAAATAATATTTTTTAAAAACTAGATAAGAATTAAGATGAATCTTGGATGTATAATTCATTTAGAAACTTTTTCAGTACTCTAAAGTTGAAAAGTTGAAATTTAAAAATATTTCTGAACATGTAACCTGAATGATTTCACTGAGATCCTTAACATAACTCCTCTCTGTGTCAATGATTTCTTTACAGACAAACTTCCAAGTGTTACCAGAAGATGATGATGATGATGATACTGGGGACATGACATCATTACTTTGATTGATGTCATCAAGAGGTTGTTGTTGTTGTAACTTAATTCTACTGCTCACTTCAACACTTTTACATCTTCTATTTGGTCCTAAATTACTACTATTATCTTTTGAAGTTAGGCAGATGTCATCCCTTTGTTTTTCAGGAATACATGATGAATATGGATCATCAGATGATGATATGTCAGGCACGTTTGCTGTGACAGTATTTTCTGGACTAGAGATGGAATTCTTTGACTTGATGAATAAATTGTTATTTGTTTTCTTACCATCCATCTTCTTATCATACATAGGAATTAAGGTAGGAATCAGGCTGACAGATGATCCTAAAAAATTATTTAATTATTATTAAATTATCTATTTTATCAATTAATCAATTAAAAAACGTCTATTCAATACAATGTTTATTCTTATGCAACAAATTTGAGTTAAAGATAGAACAATAAATTTTAAACAGAGCTTTTTGGATAACAAACAACATTAAAAGAAATAGGAATACAGAATAGCAGAAAATAAATCCTAGACCTTTCCTAAACAAATATGAATAAAGAGAACTAATAGCTGTGAGTACAATCTTCATTATGTTATTTAACAACAATGATCAATTAAACATATAACAAATATTTGAATAGAAGGACATTCCCATATTTATAGAAATATGATAATTACTTTAATAATTAAACTAGTCACACTGACTAAAATGACTAATAAAATCCATACTTTAATATAAAACTTATATGTTCTTTATCATTAAATAATTATTATAGCACTATTATTAGTATTAGCCATTATGTTATCTATATTAATCAATATTATTATCATCATCCTCATCATTATTATTATAACTGCCACACTTGCTCAAAATTGTCAGCAATATCATTTAGATCCATTGACTAAATAAAATGATTATACTGATTAGATTATACATCAAATATTTATATAATATAAATAAACTTGACTAACCAAAAAAATCCTTCCATTCAAGATTTCCAACATTGGCTGCCATGCTATTTTTTTCTTTTTCTTTCTATTTAATAATGTTACTGTGTAAGACTCTGAAAATCAACTTACCACAAATTAGTTGGCTTTTTTGGAACTTAAATTTAATTAACTCCACATCACCAGGGGTCATTTCTTCATTGTTCATGTGTTCCTTTAATAATTAATTTAATAATTTTTAAAAAGTTAGTTGACTAGTCAACTGTTTAATTTAAAATATCTGACATTTTGCGAAAATTAAATCGTTAAATCCTTAATCGGGCATTTGTTTTCAAAAATAAACAAGCGAATAAAATAAAAACATTAAAAAACAAACCTAAAAAATTGAGTCTGAAAAATGGCAAAAATGAAAAAAGGAAGCCAGTCCGTGGTCGGATAAATTGCGTGTAAAAACCAAAAATCTATAAAATCCATTCTCTGAAGTTTTAAAACATGTCAAATAAACAGCGGCATTTAAAAAAATAAATAAACTAATTTAAGATTTAAATAATTATTTTTGTAAGTTTTAAAAGCCACTATAAAAAATAAACATGGCGGACGTGAGACCAGCGAAAGATAAGATTAGAATTTTTCACAAAATTATTGCCATTTCTTGTAAATTCTGTGTATGATTTTAAAGCACTTACACCAATAACAACAACAACAAACAATAGCATCTTCCTATTTGACGACAAGTTGTGATTTAAAAAATTTTCTAAATAAATTTCTTAAAGGCATTTAATTTTATCGGTTTTATAGTAAAAGTCGTAGTCATGTCAAATAACATTCTAAAATGAAAAACATCCTCACCAACAGTAAAATCAGAATATCAACATAATTAAAACAGTTAAGAAAAGAGGAAATTACTATGAATAAGGGATGGAAAATCTAACAACCTCTGGAAAGATTACATAAAGAAGAGATCGCAGTCAGCAACGAATAACATTTGTGAAGTCATTGTGTCACTTGTTGAATATTACCATATTTAAACTGTTACAAAGTGTTGAAGACCGGGTTTTGTGGAGGTCGATGGTCGCCAATGTCCTGAAAGGATGAGGCACGAAAAAGAAAGAAAGAAGAATCCTTGAAAACTCGGAAAACAACGCGTAAAACTCCGTATTCCGTATTGGAACGGTATTCGAAAGTTCCTTCTATTCTTCCTTAATCTTCGTAAAACAACTCGTAAAATGCGAAAAACTTGTGAAGAAAACGCGTAGAACATCTCGATTCTTATTCGTTTTAATCATATTGTCGTAAAAATATTTAGTCAAATAAATTTTCAGACATAGTGGTTTGTAAAAGCAATGCAACTTCATAAGTAAGCCAATCCTGGCTTCAGTAAGCAACTGTTTTTGAAACCAAAAGCAATATTTTTTTTTAATCGAAAAAAGAAATTTTAAATTATACAAATCGATGAATATTTAAGTTCAACTGTTGTGCAGTTCTTTACAGTCAAGTTATCTCATTTGAAAATTCTAAATAAAATGAAAACACGACTAATGTAACAAACAAAAAGTTTAAAGTTGGGCTAAAAATAGATGGATAGACGAATGAATTAGATAAAGGAAGAAAAATGAAAACGTGAAATATGGAAAAGAAGCAGATGGATGGATAAATATGTAGAAATATGAATAGATGGATGCATGTGCGTGTATGTGCGTATCTTTCTATTCATATTTCTAAGAAAAATTTGTCCATTTAGCAAATTGGCTTTACGGTACGCTTGTGATTTGATTAAACATCATCATCATCTCGTATATTAACACACATACATATATACACATACACACATAGGCACACGTACACAAAAATTCACTATTACATACAAACCTACATACACACATATAGATGGTCAATCCAGAACATGCAGACATATTCAAACAAATACACAAGTTATTCAAAACAAACAGCTGTTTTCATATATATATATATACGTATTTATTTATGTGTGTATGTACGTGTGTATGTATGTTTGTATGTATGTATGTATGCATGTATGAATGTGCGAGTCCTAGGTTAAAAACAATATCCATAAAAACTATCATTTAGTCCCGCTGGAATTTTTTTCCCTTAGATTCATGCAGTGACCTCCCGTTAAATTTCAAAATTTAAGCATTTTTAAAATTTTTGTGACCCCCTCAAAGAATTTAGTGTTCCGCCCTACATGGATTTATGGATGGGATCCACCCCCTATGTATGCATGTGTGTGGTCCGCCCCTATGTATATGCATGTACGTGATCCGCTCCTATATTTATGTATGTATGCAAGTATGCATGCATGTTCATATGTATGTACGTTTGCTTGAATGAATGTGTTTGTTTTTTAATCTAGCATTACCTTCAATACAAAGCAAAAGACCTGGGGCTGTATGTCAAACACACACATACACTTTGTGCCTGCATATGTATACTTAACATACACAAATAAACACACACACACACACATGTATATATATATATATATATATATATATATATTCATATTTATATATATTATTTATTTTGCCAAAAAAGCTGAAAGGTCATCTGAGATACGACAGCGGGTTTAATTGTCTATTAGAAAACGCTCGCACTTATGAAGGAGCTGATCTGGACAAATTTGCACGGGCCGAATTTTGAAAACGTTTAAATTTTGAAATTTTTAGACAGGCATCAAGAAACTGACCAAATTTAATTTTTTGGTAGTCTACTTAAAATTAGACTGGAGACTTTTTTTGGCTTATCACGTCAATCTTTGGTCGATTTTCTACATACAATTGTGTTTTTCTTGCGTAAAAACTGAGTTTTATTGACAATACGCTTTAAAGGGTGCTTTACCCACACGGGCCCCACCCCCTTTGATCCACCAGAAACAACATCAAAAACAGAAACACCAACAACAGCAGAAACAACAACAACAGCAGAAACAACAACAACAGCAGAAACAACAACAGAAGCATCAATACATATCTTCGCAAAACATCTCAGACAAAACTCGCACAAACGAACGAACGAAAATACAAGTGAAAGAGTAAAAAAACTCGGCGCTATAAAATTGAAAAACGCGTAACGAGCGTGACATTGGTGAGATAAGTGAACTGACCTACATAGACCATCAACAGTTGACACGTGTATTGACGATTGCCATTTTAAACTGTCCAATCAGATAACGAGCCAGAAAGCAGCCCACCAATCATAAAACAGAAGGACATTAACGTTCTATTAATAGCTCTTAGGCGACGCCCCGTCGATGACGTCAACTCATTAACATAGAATGGCCGCCTCATCAACATAAATGACCGCCTCATTAACATTTTCATCACGTGACCTATCGAGTTTTTATGACGTCATTCTCGTCGTTAACTGTTGGTCGTTTGTTTGCCACGTGTTGTAAGAAGAAGTGTGGCAATGACGATGATGATGACGATGATGATGACGATGATGATGACGATGACGATGATGACGATGACAAAATCGCTAAAATCCAATGAATACAATACTATGGTGAAGATCAACACACTGAAAATTTTATAGACGAAAAAATAGTTTTGAATGAATGAAAAAATAAATGAATGAATGAATCTTTGTTTGAATGAATGAATGAATGAATGAATTAATTAATGAATGAATGAGTGAGTGAGTGAGTGGTGAAGGAGTGAGTGAGTGAGTGAGTGAATGAATGAATGAATGAATGAATGAATGAATGAACAAACGAACAAATGAAATAGGAGATGTTGTTGCTTCGAGACAAATTTTTCACTTTGTCTTTCACTCACTCGTTCACATAATCATTCATTCATTCAACCGTTCGTTCATTTATTCATTTGTTAATTCATTTTTCATTTTTACTCTCTCCTCTCTTTCTCTTTCTTGTTCTTTCTTTTTCTTTTTCTCTCTCTCTCTTTCTTTCTCTCTCTTTCTCCCTTCTCCAGAGTCCGTTCTATTTATTTGCTTTTCATTATTTATTCTGCGAAATTTGTAAAAGTGAGCGCTAAAGAAAGAACGTCGTGATGATGGTGATGATGACGACGATGATGGTCATGATAAGGAAGAAGAAGAAGATGATGGTGGTGGTGGTGGAGGTTAGGGTGGTGATAAGAGTTTCCAAAACGGTGTTGACGACGATGATGATGCTGAATGTTCCTTTTGGTAACGAAATGATGATGACGAAGACGACGACCATGATGATGACGACGACGATGATGATGATGATGACGATGGATGGAAAGACGACCGCGAAATGAGCAAAAGTAACATTAATAATCGAGGACGAGCATGAAAATAGCGTGAAAAGATCTTTTTCCGGTCCGTCAAGCGCAACATAGTGACGTCATATCCTCCTCCTTCTCAGTCACGTGATATTGTTGTTGTTGTTTTTGTTGTTGTTTGCATTTGTCTCGGTGATTTTTGTTGTTTTATTTTGTTGTTTTTAGTTTCGATCGAAATGTTATTTTTTTAAATTGCTATTTCTTCATTCATAAACATTGACATTTTATGTTGAGGTACGATGACGACGACGATGATGATGACGATGATGATGATGACGACGACGAAGATGGCATTGATTAAATGATGATGATGATAATGATTGTGGTGTCGTTGATATTGTTGTTGTCATGTCTAGAACGGCTTCGACATCATTGTTCATTGTTATGCAAATGATGTTGATGTTGTTGTTGTTGATGATGTTGTTGATGTTATTGTTGTTGATGTTGTTGTTGTTGATGATGTTGTTGATGTTATTGTTGTTGATGTTGTTGTTGTTGATGATGTTGTTGTTGATGTTGTTGTTGATGTTATTGTTGTTGATGTTGTGGTTTTTGTTGTTGTTGATGTTGTGGTTGATGGTGTTGTTGTTATTGTTTGTGCTGTTGGCACACATGCAAACAAACATCTCATTCATACGTACAAATAAACATACACACCAGCATACATACAAACAAACACACACACATACGTACACACCAACATACAAACAAACATAGACAAACATAGACAAACATGGACAAGCATGGACAAACATGGACAAACATAGACAGAGAAACATTA